ACACACGCACTGCAGGGGCCGAACTCACTGTTTATGAGCGCACGTTTATGCGCATGTGTGACGCAGTCCCCATCACAGGCAGCCTCCATGTGAGCAGACGTATGTGTGCACATACACCACTCATGCTATACTCTTTTGTCTGTATTTGGTTGAGGAAGAGCATTATCAACAAAGCATGCTTAATATCCCAGCACACCTGTCCCTGATATTAATGGCAATAAGTCCTCTTCTCTCTACAATGTGCAAGATATCTGTGTTTACAGTCGCATCTGTTTGCGTGTGTGTGTTTGTGCATCCATGTGCATGTGTGTGTGTGTGTGTGTGTGTGACTGGCCCCTCCTCTCCTCCCTGCAGTCTTTCACCCGGTCGAGTGCTCCTACTGCCATACTGAGAGTATGATGGGCTTCCGCTACCGCTGCCAGCAATGTCATAATTACCAGCTCTGTCAGGACTGCTTCTGGAGGGGGCATGCCAGTGGTTCCCATAGCAACCAGCACCAAATGAAGGAGTATACGTCATGGGTAAGGAAAGGAAAAGGGGAGGAGGGGAGGGAAGGTGCAAGCGAAGGGAGGTGTGTCTGCACTGGACCAGTCAATGTGGCTATTTTTGTTCTGCTTCACCACAATGTTAGGACGCTGAATGTTTAATTTATGTGACGGCATGATCATCAACCAATCAATCAATCAATCAATTATACTTTATTAATCATTTACCGGCGTCCCGTACAATGCAATTAATTCATCATGCTGATTTCCCAAAAATGTCACATATTTTTTATGATGGCAGGATGCTAACATTTGAGACGTTTCCATTTCCCCCCAGAAATCCCCTGCAAAGAAACTGTCCCATGTCCTCAGTAAGTCACTGAGCTGTGCGTCCAGCAGAGAGCCCCTTCACCCCATGTTTCCTGACATGCCAGAGAAACCTCTCAACCTAGCTCATATTGTGTAAGTTCATCTTCTGTCATTTTCACTTTGCACTGATGAAACCGATTCATTTGTGGCTCTCATGTTCAGGCTTTTGGGGTCAGCTGACAATGATCCTGAGGCTGGTTAAAAGAGAGAGATTCCAGTCAGTCTCTTGGGTCAGCTGATCAATGAGGTTTAATTATAGCCTTTGCAATGATTGTAATCTGTGACAAAGCTGCTACCTTTTTATTTGACTTGCCTGCTGTTTGGTGTTAAATAAACAAGTGCCTAACATAGTAACATAGAGTGTTAAAATCCTGGAAGTGCCTATATAAAGCCTTACAATATTTGTTAATATTCCAGATAAATATAAAAGTATCGCATCAAATTCAGAATTCTTACTATTAATAGTCCCATTCTTTTACAAAGTATCTTCAGGCTTTAACATTGGCTCACTGGTTTGTCTCTTTAGTTCAATGTCTTGTGTTATTTTTTATTCATGCAAAAATGATTTACTGCTACAAAGGACAAACTGAACAGCAGGTGGTGACTTACTAACTCTGTTAGCTTTCCTGAATCAGTTTTCCTTTACACAAACTAGAAATTTGACAGGTGTTTGATAGTGAGAATAAAACATATTTTGAATAATTATTTAAAACCAATTACCACAGATTTGGTTTGGATTATTTTGAGTTTTAATTTTATCATTTGTCCAATATAATGTGCCCAAACTTAAGCCAACCCCATATTGCGTATTTCCGATCAATTATGTCCATCTATTTCTCTACTTGATCCACACAAATGTTCGTCAAGGGAAAATGATCACAGTACAGTAGATTGAGATCCATAAGACCAAAATAATTACACCGTCTTACTATTGTGTACAAAAACTTAAAAGATTAACTTAAAACACAACCACATTAATTAATACTGTTTCCCTTTCAGGATTTTGTTTTCTTTTTGTAATTGTCTTTTTGTGTGATTTTCTCCTAAACTACTGGGCTGACTGTAATAAAGTATTCCTTTTCTTGTTCTTTATCTTCATCAAAATAGAGACACGTGGTGAGTTAGTTTTGATTATTCAACCATTAACTGTAGAGTTGAATCCTGTTTTGTTAAGTCATTCACCAACAGTCACTGTTTTAAACCTCCATCTTAACACTTTTGTTTGACTAGTTGCTGCCTTATTAAATCATGTGTGTATGTTTTCATACATAACACATAACAAATTACACAAATATATTTTCATATTATGTTACATGTGTGATTTACTGAGGTGTGATATCATATCATACAGTTGAAGGAAATACACGATTACACTTTCAAAGTATGAAGGAATAAAGAAACGCTCATTTACTTATGTTTACTTCCCATTTAGGCCACCCAGACCTGTGAATCTCACCAATGACTACTCACTCTCTCACTCCATGCCTACATCAGGGAACCCTTACTCCACCAAAAAGTAAGTACGGCCATATGCTAACAATGGTTGCCCTGGATTTTTGCAACAGATCTCTTTCAGTCTGCTGCGTTCCCTGAAGGCCGTGCACCCTGTAATCCACACTGTCTTTTATTTTATTCCCTTTATTTGCCAAAGGATGTGTGTTGATGAAGTTGAAGATTTCTGTGTAAATGCTGTGGCTTCTTGAGCTGAATGGTAATGGCTTGCCTTTCAGCAATAATGATAATGTTGGGCAGAGAATGCCTCTGACTGGGGCTGCTTCACATCTGTTGAAAGGGAAAGGGTAAGTAACACAGGTGTGTGCACATGAGAATGCCTCTTTACTGCAAATGCATGTGAACTAATCCTATTCATAAGGCATTGCTCAAGTGCCTATGGTCCACAGAAAACTAATTGAAAACCTGTTTCTAGGAGTGTGGAGTATTTTTGTTGAGCTCAGATTGTTAAATGATGATTGTTTGCCACTGGTTTGAAGTGTCTGTTAGAAGTTGTCCGTCTGGCAGTAAAGGAAAAGCCTTTATAGGTGTCATTTAAGTTTTCCTGTATTGTCAACTAAACTCAAATGTTCGCTCTAAATTTCCAGCATCACTGTGAACAGCGTTTGTGAAGTGGTCTGTTTACTCAGATGAAATGGGATTAACTTGCTTTTTCAATTGCTTTTAGTGTTTTACAAATTGAAGATAACTGCGGCATTCATTTTTCAAGTGAAAAATGTTTTCAGAAACATTTGAGCTCCTCTGTACCTGCAGATAGTCCCCTGTGTCTTTAGTGAACACTGTTCCCTTTAATACTAACCCGTAGAAAACTTCATATATAATGTGATGAGTGATGGGCAATCCCTAGCCCATTCTTTGCACATAAGTCAGTATTTAATTTTGAGTCCTAATCTCTACAGACTGACAAAAAGTATGTTTCTACATATAACTACTTTTTATTAAATGTGCTCAATGGAAAATCAAGACCATACATGATTATCATTCCCTAATATATTTGAATTAATCATATTTAAAAAGCTGTAAACCTGTCTATTTTCCTGTAAATTGGATATTCGAAATTCGGCCTTGGACATCATCTAGTGAGATTAGATCTTGAAACTGACCATTATTATTTTTAAAAAAGAAAAAAAAGAAAAGAAACTCACCATTAAAGCGGCCATGAAATTTAATTTTTTGGCACTTGGAAGTGCTGCACCTTGGGAGCTCTCTGTTTCGTAAAGGCATCTTTTTCACTTTGAATATCAATAACCTCACTATTCTGACACAGTCAATATTAGTGAAAATTCTGTGAACGCATACTCCAGATAATGTCACTTACTCTGTTTTGAACATGTTTTGTTTAGCTGCTTTTGTATGATATAGTTTCTGCACCTGCATTACAGTTTAGTTTGATCTGCAGGATACAGCACCAGAAGATGGAATAAGAAAAAGATAGTAGAACTGAAAAATTGTGGGACTCTGCTGCATATATTTAGCTCATTGTTGTCTCATAAAGGGCTACTGGCTATTACCTGAATATTTAATCAATAGCTTATGTAGCTCACATTTTTTGATGATGGGAGTAATTTAACTTACTGCACAATACACAAATTGAAGCTGGTTTCACACTAATTTAACATATTTTGTTTATATCTCATACTGAGCAGAATAACTCTCTTTTGGTTTTGAAGTGCTTCTGCAAATGTTGGCATGTAGTTGGCATGACAACTGTATTAGTTTATGAGGGGGGTGTAAAGCTTACATAATCACATGGGACTATGCATGCTTTTTCCTATCTTGTTGGAATACGTTTTATTAATGTCAAATTACTACTATTTAGTGATAAAGCATCACCTCAATGAGGAAATCGTGTAAATAGTGTTACTTTACAGGTTATTTTCCTTGACTTGTTCTCAGTCTAGCTTCCAGCCTTCGTCTGTTGTGTTTATCCCAAACAGAATATGGCCTTGTTTCACTCTAGCCAGCAATGAATAGCAGCCACTCTCCACCTCCTCTCTTTTGTTATGTCCCTTTCTCCTTCAGTCTCCCTCTCATCCCTCAACTGTCTCTCTGTTGTCACCTCTGTAACATGATGTTTTCTTTACTTTATCAAAACCTGCACTGTTTCAGGTTGAAGTACAACCTCGATGTTGCTGATAGACTTGCTGATGAACATGTTCTCATTGGCATCTATGTGAATCTGCTTCAAAACAACCCCAACACATGGTTAGTTGGTGTGCTGTGTTTGCTGTACACCAGTGGAAATGGTGTGCTCCGCTGAACCGCTACATCACACCCTAACCTTGAATACTTCTGAGTGTGGTAGCCTCCTAATGCTGCATGCTGTCAGTTCACAGACTGGTTATCATGACCTTTCTTCAATTCATTATCATCACTCTGCAGCAATAACAATCACATTTACATGGGTGTTGAAATGACCATTTTTCAAATGCATTTAATGGTTCTTGAATTAAATTCCTAGAAGAACATTTTCCAGATGGTAAAAGGAGTTTAGATATTTTTTGTCCTTGCGTTTTGTTGCGTTATTAAAACATTTCTGAATTATGCTTTTGCTTTAGCTGCAAATTTAACGACATTATTAACAAATGTCAAAAGTGGGATGTTTCTAGTTTGTTGGAAGTCCTTCTCTTCAGTATCTTCCCTCTCTTACATTATATTTGCAAATACCAATCTATTAACCTTTTGATTCATGTTTTCATATAACCAAATGCATCCATGCTTTGTGTGGTTTTCAGTAGCTTGGCATCCTTTTGTGTGGCACCGCCACTTTTCTTTGCTATTTTATGTATATTATGTAGATGCTGAGTTTTACAGTCCCTATACTGTCATGTTGTGACTCCCATCTTTATTTTCTTCTTCATCAGTTTGCTGGAGAGCAGTAACCATCAAGATGAGGAGCACAGTCTCATCGCCCGCTATGCTGCTAGACTGGCTGCTGATGCTGCAGTGAGATATACAGTACACCAGACATTTATTGCACATAAAAATGAGAGCATCTTTCATCGTAGTCCAGTGCCAAAAAATCTGTCCTTGATAAGAAAAGGATTTAATGTATGTTGCTACTCCACTTAATAGGTATTCAGTGTTTTTTACTGCCAAGGTGGTGATCATTTTTAAGCAGAGCTGTATTTCTGTTCATGGTCCGATCAGGTCTTGATGGATGGCTGGTGAGATAACTGCTTTGTTGCCTCATGTGAGATATGAGATAAACTAATGGATGACATCACCCGGAGGTAAAGCCAGTTCACGTGATGCCTTTCTCTTGGTTTCAACAGCAGGCGCAACACCAGAGGGTCCCTACAGACCTCCCTTGCTCTCTGGATGCCAACAAACAGCAGAGGCAGCTCATTGCTGAGCTGGAGAGCAAAAACAGGTTAGAGATGACTGCCTTTTTGGGTCTCCTCTGGTGAAACTTCCTTTTATATAATACCCATTGGAATGGATCATTTTATATGTCTACACACTTGAACACATATATCTCATATATATCTTCATAACGTGAATGCTTGTCTTTGATGACATTTTTCAAGTAGTTTTTAATTTTTTATCTCTCTCTGTAGCAGAGTGTCATATTTGGACACTGAGTGCGCTGCCCCACTGTCATGGTTTTCTGCTTAAACTTTATGAGATGGAGCCATTGTTATCTATTCAAAAACACCTGGGTTTTTCTCAACGGTGCAAGTTACCTTCTCACAGTTGGCCAATATAGCCTGAAACTTCACCGTTTCGTTCCACTTTCCTTCTGTTTGCTGCAAAAGTAGAACTAGTAGCCAAAGGAAGCCGGTGGGGAACATGGTTAAAGATTCACTTGAAGCTGCTGGGTTCTGGATCATTATACAACGTTCATGGCATGTTTCTGCTGCCCCCTAGCGAGCAAAAAAAGCATTTATTTTTAGTAGTGTGATGTACAGTAGTGCTTACATGTGTTTGTACTGATCGCAGAGAAATCCTGCAGGAAATCCAGAGACTGCGCATTCAGCATGAGGAGGCCTCCCAGCCACCGCCCGATAAGGGTCAGCAGAACCCCACCCTGCTCGCTGAGCTACGACTTCTCAGGTAACTTCTCGTCCACCAGATGTTCTGTTGGGTTTGGAAGCAGATGTGAACACCGTGCAAACAAACAATATGTGTCGCCTTCTGCACATTGTTACCACTGGTATGAGATCATTTTTTTAATCACAACTTGCTTCTTCTGTTAGGCAACGCAAAGATGAGCTTGAACAAAGAATGTCTACTCTGCAGGAGAGTCGCAGGGAACTCATGGTGCAGTTGGAGCAGTTAATGATGCTTCTCAAGGTACTGCAGACATGCTTTCATTTACCAGAGCGCAGCGAAGTTCACAGTATACGTGTTTTCATCATCACCAAAGGAGCAGATATTATTTTTCCTGTTGGAGCAATAACATTTTTGTTTGGCTTCATCATTGCTTCTTGGTAAGGATCAGCTCTGTTGCAGTTTGGATGCTCTCACTGAAAAATATGGGGTCTTGGATTACTGCCCCGTTTTTTTTAAGTTATTATTTTAAAGCAGGTAGAGGAACAGTGTGAGTAAATGATAGATTTTCCAGGTATTATAATGTCTCCCAGCTGTCTGGATCACTTCAGAAAAGCAAACACTACACTTTGCAATGGAAGACTGACATATTTAGTTTCAAAGATAATAAGTCAGCAGTGTGTAGGATGTCTCATTATGATAACTTCTAATTCAGTTTTAGTGCAGTATTTCTTTTATGACTGCTAGTAGAAAGCATCACAACATGACTAAAAATGTATTAGCTGTTGTTTCTTGTTAATCTGTATGAAATATTGTTAATCAGATTGACAGCTTTTGCAGGCTCAGATTTTTTGGTTCTGTTGTTTTTATTTAGCTCATGAAGCAAAGAAATTGAAGGTTCTTTAGAAAATGTCCTTGCGATTTACCATCTATGTATGTTGTGCTCAGTCATGTCATTTGATCTCCAGACAGAAGATCACTTTCTAATTTAAAGATATGTAACCTTATTTATGCTCTATAAATTCTTGTAAGACAACATGTTTCATCACATTTAAAACCTTTAGATAAACTTTAGTTTGATTATCATCAGTTTTCCCCTTTCAGTAGGTGAATCAAAGATCCTCATATCCCACATAAACTGCTCACCGTACTTGCTTCGCTACAGAAAATATAAATATGTATATATAGATTGCAAGTATCAAAGTTAATCCATTAAGCTTCCATGAGGAAGCCTTGTGATCACCAACACTTTTCGGGAAAACAAATTGGATTTAAAATTGTACGAGCTGTTTTATGAGCTGTAAAAAATACAAAAAAATTGAGCTGAAAGAAAACGAACGAACGAAAACAAACAGGCCGTGAGTGTGAAAACTGTGACATGGCTGTCCATGTTCAATAAGCACTTTTTCTGGATCGTTGAACAATTTGTGTACAAAACCCATCTTTTTCTGTCGAAAATAATTCTGCAGTTATGGAGCTCACCAGATGAAAACACAGCTTGCGGTTTTGTGTGCAGGAGCAATTGGAATGTGTTCAGGGAGGGAAGTGGATCTAGCCATTTAACATGCAGCGCTTGTGAAACTGATGTAATAGTAAATAAAGCTTTATACTCACCATCTGTAGCACATTTGAAATGGACTTTTTTGTGTTGTTCTCATTAAGTTCTAATTAACCTGATTGACTAAACCACCTCAATAGTGAAGATCCAGGCATGTTTGTTGCTAAGCTTGTTATGTTTAGCTTCCCAATGTAGCTCAGCTTTGTTGCTCAGTGGCACAGCTGACATTAAACTGTCCTCTGCCTGTTTTTCAGACTCAGGGTCCGGGCTCTCCACGCTCCTCCCCCAGCCACACCATTTGCCGGCCGATCCCCACACCAATCCACTCGGACTCTGCCAGCACCACCCCAACTCACACACCTCAGGACTCACTCATGGGCGTGGGAGGGGACGTTCAGGAGGCCTTCGCTCAGGGTAACACAGCTGCACAACCTTTTTGCTTACTGGAAGCTGTGTGTCCGATGTACTACTGGTCTTCATTTTCTTTGTTGTTTCTGTTCTATATGTCAAGGTCCAAGAAGAAATTTGAGAAATGACCTGCTCATTGCTGCTGACTCCATCACCAACACAATGTCCTCGCTGGTTAGAGAACTCAATTCAGGTACAAAATCAATCCATTAACAATACCGCTTAGTCCCTGATGGGGTCGCGGAGGTACAAAATAACATAGATAAATATTTGTAATGAGTACAATCTCACACAATGGCAGAAAAGTGCACGAACATTCTTTTTTGGCAGACTTATCAACCAAGCAGTATGGTTCCACTTTATAAATCTTGATATCTATGTTATGGTCTTAATGTTTTGATATAAGCTCCATGCACAGTGTATTTGAGCTGTATTAATATGCACTTATTCTTTACTGTTTTTACTAAAAGACTGATCTTTAGAGCATTCACAGAGTGCCTTCGCAAATTGTAGCCTAGCTTAGAGAATACATGCAAGAACATAGATATGAAAGACATGTTTGTATTTGAAATAAGGGGTCGAATAGTGCATTAATAGTGCAGTCTTTAGGTTGCGTTCGCCACGTCTTCCACTTATGCAGTTATTTAGAATGTAGACAAATAGATGGTTACAACATCCTATATTGCAATATAAGTCATGATCATATCAGTCTACTGAAATAGTTTGTAATATGCACTTCTTTTTGGTTTATTTTCCATTATTTGCATTTCAACATTGAATGTTGCTTAAATCAAGGAGTATGTGCTCGCATAGTCTTAGGGATAAATCTTCATTACACATTGTTTCATGAAAAGACAGATGTTGTGCATGAAAATTGAGCATTCTAAGTTTTTGTTCTGTGTGTGTATACATTGTTAATGCATCCTTTATGCACAGGGGAAGGAAGTGAGACCGAGAGCATATTGGATTCAGACTTTTTGGCTTCAACATCTTCAGATCCTTTCTTCATTTATAAACCAAGGTATTTACTAGGTACACTTTTGGAAGACATCGTATTGTAAAAACAGAATTATTAGTTAGTAAAGATGCAGCGGTTTTGCAGCAGATTTGCATAAATGGTAGCTAAAGTGAAGCGCTTTTGAGTAATGTGTACAGTTGGCTGTGTTGTTCCAACTGAGCTGTTTATTTTGCATCAGGCCAGTTAGCTCTGCAGAGGAAGAAGCCTTTGAGAACAACTTGGACCAGCAGCTGGAGGACGAGCTCAAGTTGGAAGAGCTGGTGAGGCACAGGCAGGAAACAGACAAAACGTGCATGGTGAGTTCCAGCTTTCTAAGACCAAAATGAAAGGTCTGAAGGTTGACACAAATTTTGCATTGGGAATTCTGACATAACCTATTGTCAATGTATGTTCTGACCTTGTTGTTTCGGTTTTAACTTTACACTTTAGGTCACAATGCAGCAGTGATTGCGGATGTCCAGATGACTTGTAAGTTAAGCAATGCTGTCAGGGGTAGTTTACAATGCTCTAAACCTACTTTCAGGGCTATCAGAATACATTTTTAACTTTTTTATTTTTCACAGGTGAGCAATATGAAAAGCAACAACAGTAGAAAAACACTGGAGGAGACAACACTGGGCCGCAATGAAGATATGGAGATTTTAAGTTCTGCTAAATCCAACCATAGAGTACATTTACGTAAAGATATATTTTTATCCAAAAACATATTTAAGGTAATACTGTGAGCTGATGTAAAGAGATTAATTACTGAGCTATCTATTATACCACAGGTGCCATAAAAACACATGATTTTTGGGTAATTATTCCTTCATTTTTATCCTTTTTAAATGATTTATCTTGCAAGTACACTTTTATCACAGTGGTAAACCTTATTCTTTCAAAGTTCATGTTTCTAAACCAAGAGAATCACATTTAAGTGTTCATTGTCACCTGATTTAAGATTATAAACTTTAGAGTTGAATATATAAAATAAAAAAAGAAGTTAGATTTTTGTATGTGTTACTTTGGCTGGGAAACAGGAACAAATTTAACATGATTCCATACATTTCTTACTGATAAGTTTCTTTTGTACTATTTTAGTTTAGATTTAGTTTAGATTTTTTGGGGGCGCAAAAGTAGCCAATAAGATACTTTTTTTTTAGTCTCAGACATGAGAGATAATAATGCACACTGCCTTAGCTGACTGGATGACCTCTTTTTTCAGTTCATTCTGCCTGTCAATGCAGCATGTAGCCAACAACAAACATTCTTGCAACAATGCTGGATGTCTTTAATGAGACTAAATTGTGTTAAAAGTGATTCTGGGAGGGCACATATGTGTAGTTAGGGGGTTTACAACCAAGGGGAAACCTCAAAACTGCTCAGATTAAAAGGGTCACCCTGGCATGGGCATTGAAGAAATTGTTTACTGTCAATGGTTTGTGGATGAAGGCTCAATTACATTGTTTCAATACACTTGCATACCAACACACACACACACACACAAATTCTTGAAACTTCAAGTGAGTGTGTGTAAAACTTTACCCTGTCACTTTGGTGAAAGTGGCAAGCCAATCTAAAATCATAAATGTGTGAAATATATCTTGTTTGATTTTTGAGCAAGTTCATAGCAGTGATTTTGCATGGTGGTGACGCATAATAAAGTGTTGACACAACATCACAATTTTTGCCCGCGGACTCCTTTTTCTTTCTATTTCCCTTCCAAAATGGCACACTTCAATTGGTTGGGTTTGACAGTGTACATTTATTATCTGTCATAAGTGCACTGCTGACTGCCCTCAACCTATTGTCTATAATTCATCACAGCAACCCAGCATGTGGGGTATCATAAAGCCAGCCATCCAGCACTGAATCTCATACTTATGTGCATATCAAGAAGGAGGATTTTTCTTTAGCAATATTAGTAAAATTAGAAAGAGCTGTTCCTTTAAAACGCTGACGTGCTGAAGGAATGGACCAGAAGATGCTCAGGAAAGTGGAAAAACGTGAAAAGGTATAAACAGTTACATAAAGAACACACTAAAATACGAAAGGATGCAATCTAAAAGTTAAACTGCAATAGTTTTAAGATTTTAACCAACTGTCATTTAATTTACCGCATCAGAAAAGCAAGGCTCTGCTCATTAGATTTGTGTTTAAATGATCTTTTTGAGGAAAAAAAGGAAATTAGAGCAAGTTTTCTACCTCATGACAACAGTTGGCAAGTTATTCAAACTGGTTAATTTTACACTAAGGTGCGTTTTGTCTCTGTAATAAAAAATCAGAATGATTTTTCACTTACTGAACTTAACCCTAACAAAGCCAACAATTTAACACACAATATTATGGAAGAAAAAAGGTGGGAAATCACCAAAACTTAAAAGATTAGGAATAGCATAGCTTTATTTGTTAAAACAGCAGGTATAAGCAAGGGATATTTGAAAATATGACAGGTAAGACTTTCAGTTGGATAATATATCATTATTTTTAACAGTGTTTATTTATTTAATGTATTAAGGTGGTTTATGCTGCATATGGTTTTCAAATTTGTCAATCTTTGGATTAAGATTTAGCACTTCCACAAGAGGTAGAGTGAATTGGCACCGGTCCACGAAACAGAAAGCAGATGTTGTGAATGATCAACGCATCAAAACCAGATTGGTTAATATCAGTACAGTTGTCACCGCTGGACCAATCAGCTGCTACACCGATTGCAGGACGTCCAATCAGGCGTGAGCTCGAATTTCACCGTCTTACGAGAATGGGTGTTTGAGGGTGGGGTGCGTCAGCCGGAAAACTGCTTTTTTTAAAACCTTGAAATCTGAGGGTTGGAGTTCACTGGTGAGTCGGAATTTGCTTTGTTGAAGAATTAAAATTTGTAAAATGATTTTAAAGGCGACGTGACTGTAAGTGAGTACGGAAGAGAGCGCGTGACAGCTTCTGCAGTCGCCGTTCGGTACGGAGATGGTGCCAGGGTCAGGGCATATGTTGACAGTCACTGACAGAATGTTGGGGCGAAATTAGCATACTGTGGCCTGGCGGTTAACTCCACCTAAAGCGGCATTGTTTCCGTAAACGACGACCGGCTTGGCGAAGGATTCTTGCTTGGGCTTTTGCTTTATTTTTTACTTTGCAACCGCTTCCTTTCCAATCTCGTTTCCACCACGGAGCGGAGTTAGCTTCATTCACCGGACTCATTGTAGCTAGCTCCTCCGTTACATGGCTGCTTTCAAAGCTGGTCCTTAGCCAGAGGTGTCGAGCCTTTCTCCTCCTCATCAACAACGACTGCTAAACGTTGGTCAGGGAGGTAATACGCAACACGAGGACCGATACGAGAGGAGTGGGGAGGGTGGGGGGGTGGTGCGTGGACCAAGCTGCTCTTTGTTTAAGGCGCATAACTGACCTTTTCCTAAATACCAAGTCAAAACTTCTTCCTACACATGTTGATTCTAAAGTTTGGGCTTTATGTGTGTTAGGATCGGACTTCATCCTCTTAAAAAAAAGAAATTACACTTTGAGTACCAGCCAAATCCATTGTGCATGACACTGTGTTCAATCTTGGTAACAGACCTCCCTGCTATCAATTTTAATGTGCAGGGTGGAGTTTCTGCCCCTCACCTACCAGCCAGATGTGCACCCGAAACATTGAAGAGTGACAAAACTGTCCGGTGATACTGTCCTGCACCCTGTATGACTTTATGATAAACGCATATATTAATTATAGCGATTCTGTCAGAATAAGACAGAGGTGGAAGAAGACATTTGCTCAGCACTGGACAGACATTGCCTTTTTAAACTTGATGATTTCAGAGGTCAGGCAGTGCCCGTAGCAACTTAAATGCCTCCACGTTTATGGGATTGTTTGTTTGTTTGTTGTTTGTTAGCCCCGCAAAACAGGTGAAGTGTATTTTGATGCAGTTTGTTTGCCAGGGAGCGTAATTGCGGACATCGAGTTTCTACTCTCCTTCCCCAGATTTGATTTTTAAAATGTTGTTACTGCATTAAGGTTCCCAGCTTTGGTGCTGTGGCTGCAATTGATTTGCACTTATGTTTGTATTTGTAAGGCTTTTTGTCTAATGCACCAAGGAGGAGAGTCACTCTACAAGTGAAGTAAGGAAAAATGGCCTAAGAGGATGCATGTTGCTCATCTGTTGCTTTAAAAATAATTTCATCCATAGCTTACACAGCATGTATCTTTTATAAGGAGGCCATGCATGCAGCATTGTTGCGGTGACACTAGAGGCACTTCAGATTGGAAGGTGTGAAGTTCGTTCCAATGACAGCCTGGAGATGACAGTCACACAGTATGAGGGAGAGGACACCGCCCACACGAACCAGCACGGATTTCTGATGTCTTTAAAGTTAGGCTGCCACGAATAAAGCAGGCTGGTGTGGCCATGCTGACTGCTGTTGTCACTTGCCAATCTGAAAAGGCCCCAAGCATTACTTTAGCGTGAATGTGGCATGTCGCTGCTTCTCATTGGAGACATTTGTAGTGTTAAGTTTGGTCTTTCGTTGAGGTTCTTTTTTGGCTCTGCAGAAATGTCTGTAAAGATGACTCCTGGCCCAGTATAGGACGAGGGGGGAATGCACAAAAAATGTTTTCTTTTAAGAAATACCAGACAAACTTCCAAAGATAACCGCAAAAATTCCATACTTTGTGCACTACCATGATTTATTTCTGTTAGGTATAAAATATTGTGGGAAACGTGCATTAAAGGGCAGTTTTAATGCACTTGTTATGACTTGGCTTAGTTATCAGATTCAAAGTCCATAACATGTGCTTTTGCTTTGCCATCATGTGATGGTGACTGAGAAAAGGTAAATAAGGCTAATCGCATAAGTTATGGGAATGGTTTTGAGGTTTAATACCAGCAGAATTTGACCTATGTATTTCCATCTGAAAGCCTTTGAGGTAGAACTACTACATTCTTTATGAATAATAAATAAAAACCTGGCAGTACAATCAATAATAACTACATGTACTGTTATGGTGAATAATTTTATCTGAAATCTTTTACCTGTGAGGTAAGCTATTTTCAAGCTTGAGTGCATTTCGAGGTCTTGCTCTAAACATAATCTCCTCAATCTGAAAAGTAGGATATAAAAGAGAAATTTAAAAATGTTCTGTTTGACCAAAATTCTGTTAAATTTGAAAGGAAAACACAACTCTGAATTGTGGATTGATTTCTAATTGATCCAGTTCACTTGATTTGTATGACTTAGTTATTACATTTATATGATCACCTTTATCTTTATTTAGCTTTAAAAATGTCTAAGTATAGACTGCAGTATTTAGCAGTCATATGCCACAAAGTGACTTCACCTATGGCCTCATGGGGGCACCAGAGTTTCAAACATGTTCATGAACTTCTGACCAGGAGTTTTCATGGTTTAAGCCCAGTACTGCACAGGTTCAGAGACGCCAACGTAATCTAAGGATTCCTAGATAACTAGATTCCTAAAAGAGGCTTCAGCTCCACTACGGCCGGGCTTGGAATGACCAATGCAAAAACTAAAGTTGAAGCAACGTGTATTCATATAGTGGCATGACTGACATTAACAGGACTAATATTTGGACCAGCTCAATCAGAATAACGTGAACTGTCCTGATACTGGACCGCTAGACATACTTTCCACATGAAATTCCTGCATATGAACATCATAGCTGTGTTTGATATTGGTTAATGTAGTCATATTTTGTACAACTTTTTCTTTAGATCAGTTCTACATAATGTGTTAAGCATTACCATGTATATTAATCTCACATTTTTAAATACTAACTAAGATTTTGATGACATTTTACTGAATGAAAGAGTGAGTCACTTGGTCACAAAGGACCACATTTCCTTAAATACTGCTCTATTTTTTATTTGGAAATGTAATATACAGTCCATCTTAAACCAACAATGTTAAGCTAAATTTGTACAACATTTGAATGATTGTACTTTGCTCGATTGACTTATATGGTTAGCAGTGTGTTCTTTTTTTAATCCATAATCACATAGCATGTGTGGTCATGAGGATTCTGGTCTGTTTCAGTGTCAATATAATGTGACCTGCCAAACTCAGGGTTTCAGGGTGAAACCGGGTGGGCTGCGTTTTCCTTAAAATCTAATTAAATCTTTTCAGTTGATTTGCTATCTGAGCGGTTTGGACGTAGCGTTTGTCTGGGAAGATAACGTAGCCTCGATCTCCAGCTCAATAAGCGACAGGCACCACGCATTGATCTGACCTCTGATGGCGCTCCTCTAGTAGTCGGTGGATCAATGCGAACTGGCGCTCTGAACGAGCCCGGCGCTCTGAACGGGCAGCCAACGCGAGTGGTCACGTGGTACGCAGGGCGCTGTGACGTCACCAGAGCAGAGATTTGTGAGGAATAAGCAGACTGAGGCAAAGAGCCCCGGAGGTGCGGCACTCTTCTTTTTTTTTTGTAGTACCTGCATCGTTCCCGCTGCTATCACACCCCCATTCCCTGGTCAGAAAGACGGAACAGAGCATCTGTTCTATATTTTAGAGACCCAAATGCCCGGTCCCACCCAAGCCCTTTCCCCAAATGGAGAGAATAACAACGACATCGTCCCGGACAACGGAACCAACATCATTCCGTACAGGAAAAATACAGTGCGAGGAGAGCGCGCCTACAGGTAACCCAGTGGAAACCCGCATTTGATATGACAGGATAAAACAAACAAAAAAAGATGATGGACACACACCACCGCAGACAGAAACCTGTTTTCTAGCCTCCCACCCCCGTCGCCGTTTCGTTGCTTTGCAGCGATCCGCTATTTTTCCCCCTGCTGTCTCCCGGTGTCATGTCACGTTAGCTCTGAGCCAGCCGACACTGTGGCGCAAATGGCTTGCAAGTTAGCTTAAAACAGTGCCCTTGCCGCTCCGAAAAAAAAAAAAAAAAAAACGCATTTTGCTGGAAAGCCGCGTAAATGTTGAGTGCTCGTTTCAGCAGCGGCACGGGGGACGGTATTTTGGGAATGTGGGCCGGTACGGAGCAGCTTGTCAAATGACTGTGAGACACAGGCAGCAGCAGCCGCCGCCGTTACCAGAACATTCCCACGTCGTGACATGACTCTGCAGCTCCCGAGCAGTCACAAACTTAACAGCATAAAGCGACGCCTGGTGACGCGTTGTTCTTAGAAACGGTTTTCGCTGTGGTTGAATTGGGGGCATCATCACACCCAGCCCCGCTGCTGGCCGGCTACCACTGCCAGGCTAAAGCATGCTAACAGCAGCCCATACATCCGCTTTGTTGACATGAGATGGGCCGGCCCTGTTTCTTCCTTCCCTCCCAGAGGATCACACAGTCAAAGGCTCTGCTGCTGCTGCGATGTGAAAACCCAATTTAAACTCTGACAGATGGATATTACCATGCCATAGACACTGGGGTTCGGATAGTAGATGCTTATCAGCTAGATTTGGTACTCCGTCATTCGTCTCTCATCAACGTTCTATAGGGGGGACTGAACTGGTTTATTAGCAAAGTGGCTGCGAAAAAGTGTGCATTTATTTTCACGTTGAACAACGCTGATCACTGTGTTATTTTCCAACGTTGATGTGCTGAAGCTTTGAAGTCTGAGCATCCCTGGTGTGGGATTTGCACAAAGTCTACCTCCCCTCCTTTTACCTTTTTAAAATGAGCACAAACATGCAGAGAGGGAACCACTAGCAGGATGCTGTTTGCAAAGCTGCAAAACACCAGTATAAAGACTGACGTTCATGTTGGAATTGGGAAACTGGAGACATTGATTGTGTTGTGTGTGTGCATTCTGTGCAACTACCTAATCTGTAGCTTAAGGATCAAAGTTTGAACTTCTTGATGTATTTTGTTGCATGCTATGCTTTCATTGTGCATAGGCCTGGAGGTGGGGGAGGTGTGCTGGGCTCCCTGAGGGGAATGGCAACCAGAGGATACTGGAGTTTGTTTTTTTCAAAGCAACACTGTCGTTTACCATGAGAGAAAAAGAACTAACTTGATTGCACCGATGAAAAATATCAAACATATTTTTCTTCAAAGAGAAAGTGGATATCTTTCCAGCTTTTTGATTTTGATTGTATTTTGATGGTTGATTGCAAAGATATCGGACTGGATATGTTAAAGTTATGTTAAGCTTTGCTAAACTTTGAGTAAATATAGTAACTTTTTTCATATAATTATTTACTCATCTGTTATTCCTAATGTCATGTTATACTGCAGGTGTTTTCAAGTCTGACTTCATTTGATATGAAAAAATATATACAAAGATAATCGCAATAGATAATTACAATGTAAAGGATTCACTTTAATGTGTAATCCCATTTGATCTATCAATGCTATGTTTTTCTATTATGTTGGCACACAGTAAGAAGTTTGGGTATTGTAGCTGCATTACTTTTTATTACTGAGTGTCTTTATTTTCTTTTTGCAGTTGGGGGATGGCGGTCAACGTATATTCTACCTCAATAACCCAGGAGACTATGAGCAGGCATGACATAACTGCCTGGGTTAACGATATTCTCTGCCTAAACTACACTAAAGTGGAGCAGCTCTCTTCAGGTGAGACTGCACGACTGCTCCTATTTTTCTCCTCATTTCTTTCAGTTCTGCTGAATGCATGCATCAGAGTGGCCGCTTGAGATGAGGAGCATGTTGTGGAGGTCATCGTTTTTAAAGAACAGCGACTCGTTTTCTATGTGCCCTGGTAGTTAAAGCGACCTGTGGAAACATGCTTACCTCCCCCTGGCAGGGAGTTGTCTATAAATAAACCCATAGCCTGCCGTCTCCTCCTGCTGTGACCATGTAATCCAATTTCAATACTTTGCTAACACAAACACACACACACACACACACACACACACAGCCCTAATTAGCTTAAGTTGCAGTGTAATTGTTTGATCACTTCTTATGTGTTCTTTTGTTCGGTTATATAGGATTTATCTTAAACTGAACTGTTGTCTTCTTTCTTTCTGAGGGATAAAAGTTTAACTTGGTGCATACTTTTTGCTTTACGGGAACCAGATGATTTCTGTAGGCATTAAGATTTTTTTTTTTCATTTTTAGGAACATGTGATAGATGTTGAACTGTTGCTGCAAACGGTTATTTATCCGACAGGGTTTGCTTCAGCACAAGGGTTAGAAGTTAAGATGTCCACAACTCTCTTCTTCTCATTTTTGCAGGAGCTGCATATTGCCAGTTCATGGATCTGCTTTTCCCTGGCTGCATCAGTCTTAAGAAGGTCAAATTTCAAGCTAAATTGGAGCATGAGTATATTCACAATTTTAAGCTGTTACAGGCATCTTTCAAAAGGATGAATGTGGATAAGGTGGGTGTCCCAAATGTCACTTTGATCTGAACTAACGCTGCATGTTGTTTCTTGGATTTACCTTTTTTTTGTCCTCCATTTTTGTTTAGATAATACCGGTAGAGAAGCTAGTTAAAGGCAGATTTCAGGACAATCTTGATTTCATTCAGTGGTTCAAGAAATTCTTTGATGCCAATTATGATGGTAAAGAGTATGACCCGTTGGAAGCCAGACAGGGCCAGGACGCCATTCCTCCACCTGACCCTGGTGAGCAGATCTTCAACCTGCCCAAAAAGTCCCACCATGCAGCCAGCTCTCCCACTGCAGGTACGCTTCAGTTAAAACATCCGACTTTAATCTACATGACTGTAGATTAAATGTCAACTTGTATTTCGCTATCAAATCCTGTGATCCTAAGATCTAAGCATTGCCCGGCTTTCTTCGTGAGATGATAAACCCCTTTTTTTTTTTTGCGCATTACAGGTGCATCAAGGGCAAGCTCTGTCACCCCCAAGTCCTCAACACCAACATCCAGACCCTCGTCAGCCAAAAAGATCCCTACACCTGCAGCAACTCCTGCCAAAGGAGAGAAAGAACTGGAAGCACAGGTCACACATCTGACTGAGCAGGTATGTTTAAGAAAAAAAAAAAGACATCTATTAAAATGTACCACATCCCTCCGTCCATGGCTGTATTGTTGGATTGATCTCCTTTTATTCCCAGACTGAACAAACTAGTCTTGGTCCAGTCAAATGATCAGACGCAATAAGGGGCTCTCTGATAATGGAACTTAAAATTCAGACATGAGTTGTTTAAATTGAAACGAATTCCTTCATCAAAGTAAAACATAAATAAAGTTAACCAGTTCTTGGTCATCAGTGCTGATATGACTTCGACTGGGCAATGGAAGAGGATTTTACTGCATGCCATCGGTTATTGTCTTTCTACAATAGTACTTCTAAATACGCCAGAGCACATTATTAATGCAAGCACTTAATATACTAACAATTATAAACTAAAAGGCATAATTACATTAGTCACCCTAATGACTCCAAACTCGGGGAGAAGGTGTTGGCTGTGAGCAGACTTGTGGTAATCTACAGTGATGTGACTCTCTGCATGTTGGTTGCCTACATGGACAAAGAGCATGGGGTCCATTTCTGCCTTTCCTCTTGAAATACTGGCAAGAAGGATTTACAGATTAGGCACAATCTTCGTGGGATATCATTTTATGGGCAGAGGAATCCAAAGCAGAGCTCTTTGGGAAATAAATGCATCAGACTGATTACAGATGATAAAATAAACATAATGATTAAGCATGACGTAATACTATTGGGCTGCTTTGATGCTTTGATGTCCATGGTACCTCAGAGATTTAATTAATCTAAATGCGTTAATTAACTCTTTACTATGGTCAGCATCTCATTGAGTATTAAAATATAACTGTTGTATTTGGAAAAAAGCAACAATGTTGAATAATCAAGCAAGAGCATCCCAAAGTTGAACATCCACTAAAAATCAGTTGATTTGGATAAAATCTCGTCCTTGCGTGGAGCATCTTAGTTGCTACACTTAGGTGAAAAAATGAGTGATACAATGACCAGATTTATCAAAACATTTTACATGGAAATGTCATCCATGCTCAGTAATGCAGGTATGGGATTCAGGGCTCTAATTCTTCTGCTCGATCTGAAGCACACATCCAACTTCACAAAGGAATAGATGAAAGAAAACCTGTCCTAGTTTAAAATGGCCAACAGGGAGTTCAAACCTATATCTCAAACTGCAGAAATAAATCCGTCAAACTTCAGATTAGACTGAAGAGCTTCCAAATGGTAAGGTTGTGATTATCTTATCCTATGTACATTTCGGTTTTCTTTGTTTTACCATTTGATTTGTTCCAATGTGACGCTTATCACCTTTTTTAAGGTTTCTGTACACATCAGGAATGCACATAACAGATCTGATTAAATTCAAAGTCATGTACATGCAATTCACCAGGTCGCCAGCCCTCCTAATATCTCTTAATAACACCTAAACATGATATAGTCTCTTCCTTTTGTATGTCGTTTAGTCAAAAAGCCTGGAAAAAATCTTCAAATGTTTTCAGTCATGGTCCCTCTGTTCACATTACACTGTATTAAACAGCAACACAGCTAACCAATGGTTATTTATTAACAAGGTTTTCACCTTTATAGAGCAGAAATGCACACAGGGGACAGTTTCACAACAAACCCAACTAATGGATAAATGATCAGTGATTTCTTTAAAGCTCTAAGTTAAACAACTCCTGGTTCCAGCAGGACTCTTTACTGCTCCTTCTGACAGCTTATCTTCCCTTCAGTCTGATGTCCTATTGACCTTTTGACTGTTTGTCTGGCCGCAACCAAAGTTCAGGCTGCTGTATGCGTTTGATGCTCTAATAGTCCTGCGTGTCTCTTGTCAGGTGAACACGTTAAAGTTGGCACTGGAAGGAGTGGAAAAGGAGCGGGACTACTACTTCAGCAAGCTGCGCGAGGTGGAGCTGCTGTGCCAGGAGCAGGGTGAAGAAAATGCCCCGTTTGTGGAGCGGCTAATGGAGGTGCTCTATGCCTCAGACGAGCAGGTCAGCCCCCACCACTCCACACTGGTCAGAACAGGACTCCGGACGGTCTATGTTTGTTCTTAAAGCAGTCTGTGCTGGCAGAGGAATTCTGCTGTGCTTACTGTGCTCTAAAGAGAAAAGGATCTTAGTCTTTGCGTGTGGAATCACATGCACTTGGCAGAATATGATCATTTTCTTTTTTCTTTTTCTAGGACCGAGCAGAGCTAGCTGAAGGTGACGGACAGGATGTGGACGAGATAGCCCACGAGGAGGCACCAGATGATCAGCAAGAGGAACAGGATGAATACTGACTGCCATCACCCCTCACCGTGGTTACGCCCCTATTTTTTAATCTGTGAGAACTGTTCAAGGACCTTTCATTTTTCTCTTTTTTTTTTTTTTTTTTTGGTCTCTCCAAGACTAAGCACATGAAGCAGCCTCCTGACTAGAAGTTCCATCACAGTTCCGTTTTCTTTTTTGTTCTATCCCTCTGCTGACTGTTTGATGTTTTTTGTGACTTTTTGGTGAACTGCTGTGGCCGGTTAGTGGCGATGACCTCCACTAGCACACTAGCTCAGACCATCACAGATGTTTTCAGAGACTGTGTGGGTAGAAAGACGATTCAAATCCTCCAGTAGTATGTGGTGAAATGCTGAAGTTTAGACGGGTAACTGTTACCCGTCACTGCAAATTTTAACCCTCAAGCTTTGTGCTTTTTTTCCCTCCATTTTTGTTTTTAAAAAAACTTTTTTTGCCGTTATTTTGCATATCAATATTAACCATAAGAATGCAATAAGAAAAGCCCTGGAAGGGCTCTAGTAGCTCTTATTTAACCTCCTCCCATACGTTGCACTGATGCTGACTCTGTATTGGACAATCTGTCCATAGACCCTCATCATATTTATTGCTGTTATTATTATTATTAAGTCTTAGGAATAGTGCAAATTTTGCAGCACGTCCTTATGAATCAGGACACTACCGTCAACAAATCGTGAATGAAATGTAGTCAAATGCCAACGTCTGACTGTTTGACAGTTGTTCTCACAAATACAACAATGTTTTATTCGCACTATGTAACTGGTTTTAGTGATAGAGGATTATTTGTCATGAAACATAGGGAAGGAAGAATCATTAATGTGGACTAGTCTTATTATGAAGCAGCATTTTAATTTTTCAGCCTCTATCGGAGCTCGTGATCTGTCCAGGTTTTTTGCCATTTCTTTTTCTTTTTAAACCACAGGTCTTAGGGAAAGGTCAGTTCACTGAGCAATTTGCCTCACTATATTCCAGTAAGTACATTGTATACCCTTTCGTAATATTGCATTTACTAATATTGAACTGGGCAGTGCACCACAATGCTTTAGTTATATATTATTGTGTAAATGAAAAAGGAATGTAAACATGTACTGTCAATAGTTAATGAATGGTAAATGTTTTTTTCATGTCCTACTCATTATGCATTCCCCAAAAAAGGTGTTGCATGTTTGCATTTTATTTGTGAATAACTTGACCTGCTTTTTACATATTTAATAAAAAACAGACATGTTAAGTGAGCTTTTGTATGTTTAACCTGCAATTGGAAAAGATGATCCGATTCGGATGGATTTGCTATAATAAAAATACATTTTGAGTCCGCGGGAATGTCATATAACTCAAAACTGACAGTGTGACAGCTTCAGGTATGAAAGCTGGAACAGCTTAGTTTTCTGCTGTTAGGAGGGAAAGTAAGCATGTTCAATTTGAATCAATTACAGGCCTGTTATTACTAGTAATTTAAGAAGTAAAAAAAGTGACAGAGATCTGGTATGAAGGACTGACAATAAGTAAGTAATTATGTCTAATACCTTCATTCAGTATTCAAACAACTCTTTATAAGGGGCTTCAGATAGTTCAGAGCTTAAGAGCTTAACGTTATATTGCTTTGGTGGATATAAATGCACGAAAATTATTTTTAAAAACTTACATGGTGTATGCTTTTCCTCATAGTCGCGATTTCGTAAGATGCACTTGGGCGACCCGCCTGCCTCCGGCTAACGCCAACGATTAAAGAAACAAACCCCAGTCTTAGCTGTGAACGCAAGTTTTTTTCTCCTCTTTCCTCCACCTCCAGTTAGCTTTATCCGCAAACAGTAAACCAGCAAACACCGGCAACTTCCCAACAATGGGCTTAAAAGTCGTCTAACTTCTAAGACATTGTGAGAGCACTCTCACCACCAACAACAGTTGACACAACTTTAACCGTCTTTGTCTCTATGTCTTCCAGAAAGGTAAGAAAGCCGCTAAGTAGCTTGAACGCCAGTTACCGCTAACCACACCAGCGTTGCTAGCTTTTGTAACCCATGTCTGTTATCCGGGACTTTGTTCAATTGACCAACCAGTCGTGTGTAGTGCTAGCGGATTAAGTTTAGTTTAATAAAACAAACGAATGTAATGCTATATTGTGTGCTATTCATTTAGTTCATGATTGAAAACATGTATTTTACCTCTTAATTGGGCTGCTGGCGTGAATCTTCCAATAGCCGACCCACATAACTTTTGTGTCCTTTTTAGCGTAGAAGATACTTACAGGACTTAAAGTGTGTCCACTTTCCGGACGATGTCGGAAATGGTCCGAATAAGAAAGTTGGGAAAGAGACATCATCGCTTTCATCAGTTTCGTCCGCCAGGAGCTGGGAAAAGTGTGGAGACAGCTTTCTAGACACTCCAGTGATTAAGGTTCCCTAAAAGCATCATGAGGACAAGCATGAATATTTATATACAAACGGACATATGTGTGTTAGTGTCACGTGCATCACTTCATAAAATATTTATTTTCTTTACTTAATTTTTTGCAGAACCTCCAGACATCAGGGAGAAAGCTGTCAGCTGTAAGGAAGCTGACTCAGTCTCCTTCGTTTGGTAATGTGTGGAGTGATTTTAATGTTGTCTAACTTTCAGTAATGTAATTACAACAGTTACAATGACTTTCACTTCATGTAATGGCAAGTCTGGTAATCAAGTCTGCATTTGTTTTTGGTTTACTACCTATCAAAGTGTAATTAATCCAGTTGACTGACACTATAAGGCAATTGTGCTAGTTTTATTTTAGATTAGTCAGATTGTTGTTTTTTTATATTGTATTATGAATAATTATATCTATGTTTCCCCCATTTGTCTTTGTTTTTTTCAGGGCAGAGAAGTGCTTCTTGCAATAATGAAGACCCAGTGCAAATTGCATGGAGCTCAAGTGACTCTGAACAGTCTGAGAATGAAATCGAGCAGCATCAGTCCAGAGCTGTTTGTAAGCAGCAAGAGGGGCCTCAGAGATCAAGGAAACCCATTGCACACGCTCAGTCTTACAGCAGCATGCTGCGCTTGCTTACCACTGATAAAGGTATCAAACCTGTTTTTCTACTCACTGTTAAAGCATTTTGTATTCTAGGTTATTCTGTTTCAGTAAGCCGTCATCTCAAGTTTTAAACAAGTATTATTGGACGCATGTGAGTTTCTGGAACACATCGCACTGCTCATTCTTTTTACTCAGGCGATCAAGAAAGTCAAGTTGAGTTGTAAAAGGCTATGAAGCTGTCAGAAACCTTTTCCACACATGTTCCTTGTCTTACTGCTGAAAAGTAGACACAATCTTTTCGCCCTTATGCAAAGAGATGGTTTTGCTGTAGCAACTGCTTCCCTTGCTGGCTAAGTCCCCCATAGCATCAGTCCCAGATTTGAAAACCATTTGTAAAAAGGTTTCATGTAGATATTGTCTGGTTGCAGCCACAGGGTCACTAGCCACCACATCTGTGCAGAAATGGGTGCCTCAGCTGAAAAAAGGATGGGTCAAGGAGGAAAGCTTAAGATACCCAGTTGTCTTTGTCAGTACCCTAGATACAAAACACATGCTGTTACAGGGAAAATAGGCTGTTGCTCATCATGTTCAACTGTTTGTGACTTCAAACTGCATGTAAATTAAGATACTACTCAATGCCTTTTCCAGATTCTTCTCGGGCTAGTTCATTTTTTTCCTCTATAACATAATGGCTGAGCTGTTTTTGTTTCCTGATGAATACTGCATGACCAAGTAGCTTTTCAAATAACCAGAATATTCTTTTGTTCCATAAGATGACCACCCTGTTATAGACACAGACAGTGATCTGTCTGATCCGGGGGAAGACATCGAAAAGGACAGCGGGCAACAAATCTCAGACTGTGAGTCTACTGAGGACAAACCCAGAGACAGTCCCCTTAAAACTACTAATGTGAGTATTTACTAACTACGAGCAGTAGTGTTAGCAAAGCAGACCAATATTAGGATCACATTGATGTGTTGCAACAGTTTTTGGGCTTTTCCATTAGTACCTACTCAGCATAGCTCAGGTCAAGTGTACTCAGTTTTTTAAATTTCCATCAGGAGCTGGCGCTTCCTAACAGTTAGAATTATGGCACTTACTTGGCTGGGGTTCTAAGTGGGCTGAGTTAGGCTGACAGCAGACTGTCGGCCACTGATTGGCCAGGGTGTCACATGACAGGATGAAACGACCCCATCAGGAGAACCCTGTCTAATAAACCTGTGATTAGATTATTTCTGTGAGCGTCATCTTTGTAATTGTCTAATACGCGGACCCACACAGAGGTGCAGCCGGCATACTGTGGCCGCGATGTCTTTTGTTGTCGTCTCGTGTTTGGGTCATATATAAATGATGTCACGTCATTTCTAAATGAAAACATCCTAAACCGTGTTGTCGTGAGGCGAGCAGATCTGTGTCGATACTGATCGAGAACCCCATTTGTCACGCTGATGCCTTGCATCTGGTGAACCAAGGCCATTCTTTCCATTAAGGGACACTAGGGGGAGCTAAAACATTTCTTATACGCTCCGGCTAGTCACATTATTACATGGTATCATCTACAACAAGAAAACATTCACTGATTTTTGCACACAGACATGAAAGTTACTGGTATGTATTGAACTTTAGATATTGTTATCAGTTCTTAGGTACGCACTGGGGTGGTCCTCACTGCAGTTAACAGTTCAACTTTAGTTTAGCCAGCGCCTATAGACAACTTCCTGTGTGGCTGCATTGTGGTTATATTGAATAAAATTAATCTCTCTGTATGATTTGTTTACGTAACCATCCTGTCAGGGCTTAATCAGTTATTTTTACTTAATTGGCTGTGATTGCATTTTATCGGAGCAACCGCTAGGTGGAGTGTGTAGCAGTGATCCTTCATGCTGAGTAGGCCTGACAGGCACTTCTTGTAGACCTTTCTAGAATCAGGTTGTGTTCTGTCAAAGTTCACTGGCTGAGATAACAGTAAAACTCTGGCTTAAAGTGGACAGCATATGCAGATTCTTGTCCTTTCCAAATGCCGAGACTGCTCACAGTGCCTATTAGAAAACTATTTATTTTTTGTTTACTACTTAATCAAATACTTTGTTTTTTTCGACAGCATTGTAACGTTGTATCTCAAGCGACAACATTGTAAAAACTCTGAATTTATGGTTAGGTGGACAGACTTCTCTCGGTTTTGACAAGTGCTCATGTTATCTCCAGTGTTCATCTTTTGTGGGACCTGAAGCATGCTCCAGTTCATGAGTAGTGTTTGTTCAGGGCAGGGCTGGCATGGAGAGAATGTACAAGGAGTGGTGAAGATGTTCAGGCTCAATCCCCCCACATACACTGATTAGTCTTCACAGGACACACACATACTTTAATTAATCAGCCCCTATCGCCAAAATATTGGAATATTGTGATGTAACAAACATGGTTTGATGAAAAAGTCCTCGCAGCAAGTAACAAAAAAGCATGAAATAAATATTTAGGCATGATGTGAACCTTGATGTGAATGCAAGTAACCTGTAACTTTTAAAAATGCTCTCGAGTTTGTAGAAATTATGTTTAGAGGAAGCCTGCTAACTGATTATCATCACTCCCGCAGACCCAGCTACTTCCTCTTGTCACAGTTTAATTTGCTGCTATCAGCTCTTTGGGGTCAAACAAGATTTAAGATCTCTTTAACAGGAGGCTTGTGGTCAGAAGCCCAAGAGAAGATCAAGTCCGGAGGAACCCTACTTCTTCAAAAATGGGGGGTTGTTCAACAGTTTTGTTAGCAAGTATTTGGTCATGAAAATAAGATTTAACTGTTACCATGGGAAGTTATTGGCTATAGCTCTGCCGTTGTTCCATACATTCAGTAAATATTATAACAGCAGAATGCATGAGTCTGTTTGGACGTTTTATTTGCTGCTCGGAAAGCTTCCCAGCACATTGCAGGCTGTAAATCAAACCAGATCCAGCAGGATACAGAGCGAGAAGATCCTTATACAAGGCAAAGTTTATTACTCCTGATAAATGCTTGGCTGAGTCAAAGGTTGTTTGTCTGCCAGATTTCTGTGTCATTGTACTAGCTGGTGAAAGTGGACAGGCAGAGCCACGAAGGCGACTTTGCATTTCAAGGCCAGAAAGAATGGCCTCCTCCCTGATGGAGTGTGTGGCGCAGTTTTAACAACTGCGCTCAAAGAGGACAACAACCTCCTCTACACCAGCGCGCGAATAAGGCTACAAACGTGGTTTTACTACTGTTTGCTCTGGAAAACGAGTGTGTGTAGAGGAGGCTGCAGAGAGCTGTGTACTGACAATGCTTTCAATGCTGGGTGAAAACATTTTTGAGTCAAGGCCAGGAACATAGTGTTCCTTTTTCTCTGGAGCTGGTTAGAGTGTGACGTCTGCTGGCACTCTGCCTAGCAGGGTCAAGTTGATTCAAATAAGAGAGCAGATTGGCTGACAGGGCCTGGTATGCTGGTCTTGTCTGCACATGACAGGAACTCCAGTTTCTTGTGGATTTTTCCATGTGAACAAATTCCCTCAGGTGCTGTGAGAAGTGATGCAGCAAAAAAAGTTTGTTTGGTTACAATATTGGATGAATCACGCCGACGCTGTCAGTGTACCATATCCATCCACTTGTGTTTACCTGATTTTAATTCATTAATCACATCAATGTACCTGTGTCAGTCAGTCAGGGGTTTGGAACGTCATTTTGCAAATGTCATGTTGAATGATTTAATCATTTTAATCTGTTAACAGATGAAAGAGCTGGAGATCTCAGGTTATGCGTCTGATGGAGAGAATATTGACAGCACATTAAGCTCAAGCAAACTGGACTCACAGATCTTCCCTCCCCGAACCGGTGAGGGCAGCAAAAGATCGGTCAGTGAGTGGCTGAGGTCTGCTCAGGCCATGCTGCAGACACCTCAAAAACTGATTGACAGGAAGCCCAAGTCCCCAGAAGATTCGGCCAAGAAAAAAAGAAAGTTTCAAAGGTTTGAAGACTGTCCTTAAAAACTTGTTTTTACTATGATACCCCCAGACGTGGATTAAGTCATGAACCTCATTTCAGATAATTAGCAACACTAATTTTTCTAAATAAAAAAAACTGACAAAATACAAAACTTTTTATTCAGAAAGAGCTTTTGCACAACAGCTGCATTCATTTTAATGAGATGCACCTCATAAGATGGAAGGCTGTATACAATTTTTAACTATGTATTGCTTCATAATAAGCACAGCCAAAGTCAACAAAGACACGCAAGACATATAGATTTCTGCCAGATTGTAGCGTTTCCACTGTAGAAGTGATGATGAAAGGGACACCTGGTGTCATAATGTGGGTGCTAAATGTCGTTTAAGCCCACCAAATCTGACAGATGGCAGCCAGCCATCTTCAACAGCTTGTTTTCTGCATCAAAGAATGTTTTATTTCTCTTTGAGACAAACAGTTCTGCTCGAGCAATGGATAGATCACATGTGCTAAGGGAGTTTATCACATTACATCATCTCCCTCCGCGTGTGTGTTTGTTCCACAGTGGAGGTCTGGCAGAGAGGCTCAGCCGGCTCCAGTGCAGGCAGAGGTCAGCTATCAGTTTCTGGAGGCACGAGTCCTTCTCTGACACCCCAGCTGCAACAACCACAACAGGTGATGCGCGTCACACGTCTCTGCTGCATGTCGCTGACCTGGCTGTTTGCAGCACCTGGAGCTTCAACGCACACATCCCTGAATCTTTGTTTGAGCTTAACAGTCAGCTTTGATTTGTGACTGAGTTGAAACCCAGCTCTCGGGGAGCGTTATTTAAAAAAAAAAAAAAAAAAGTACATGTATGTAGGGGCTATGTTGAGGAAGTGATGGCTGCAGTTTGATCAGTGTGGCTCTGAACTGTGAACTCGGTATCTAGGTGACAGGAAACTGCTTGCCTAGTTTTTTTTTTGGGGGGTGTAATTTTTCCTTTCCGCGGTGTACTAAACCACTTGTGCTCTTTGGTTGTTAGGTTTCTCCTCATTATAGGACATCACTTTGCCTAAAGGTGGCAGTTGATTGTGGAAAAAGTTTTTTTTTTAAAACATTCCACCAAATTCAGCTAAGCTTTTTTGGGGCAGTTGATGGCTTTATTGGTGCAACTTACAGAGTTAAATAGAGGATGACTTCATGATGTAATTATTTAGTTATATACATGAATGTATATAGATGTAGGTGTATATATATATATATATATATGTGTGTGTGTGTGTAAATAATATATGAAATAATGTCATAAACGGGGACCAAAAACCTTTCTTCTGTCACACTGCTGGATACATGCTTATTAATAACACGAGGGGTGCCTGACTAGACTAGGTCAAGCTGTTATAAGACACCTGTTACAACTTTGTCCTCAAACATGTTGATATAAGCATGCTCACATGTAAACAATGAGAGGCTTGTTTCCTGGCATCTTCCATTGCATGCAGTTTATCATTTATGTTCAAGTGGACTCAAATAAGTGGCTCTGAATGAGTGTTTTGCAGTTTCCCATCTGCATGTGCAGAGCAGAGAAGAAGCACTTAAGATTCCTGTTTGGACAGTGCATGTTAAGACTAAATGGTTCTCTTGTGATTCTCTTGATGTGATTTATTGTTATCATAATAAAATTCCCCCCTGGCCTGTATTATACACAGACAATAAGAGCATTGATTCTACCTTCTCATGCTGTCATTTTTTTCAGCGTCAGGTTTACACAGCTATTTTATTTATTAGTTGCTCTCTTACCTCGGTTTGATTTGTGTCTATAGGGCATTGTCACAATTTCCATCTGTTGATTGTCTCTGTTGCATATTGTAATTATGGCTAAAAGCACAGTCAGCGTTGCAGTCAAATTCAGAACACATGCACACCAGGGTACATGTATTGAATTTCATATCCTACATGATTATATACAGATTAATGGTCAGGCAGTGCAAATTGCTAATATTCTTAAAAAGAATTGCTCTCATAACACCAAATGGCTCTCTCAGAGAGCAATAGTCAGTGACAGTTCATGCACAGCACTTAACAGGCCTCGAACATCTGTGTTGTTTTTGCTCCGCTCTCCAGTGGATAGGCCCGGCGTTCTGGTGCTGAAACTGCTGGAGGTCCACGAGGAGTGCGGCATGCAACTGGCACGCTGTGCGCACCATCAACCCCCTGGAGACGCTCACCAGCAGGCTGTCTCCGAGGACAGGGCTCGTGTGTTGGTATTATTCAGCAGAGAGACGGCGGCCCAGCTGATTCCCGCACCCAGAGATATCATCCACATATACCCACCATGGTGAGCGGACAAAGTGGATGTCTCACTTTGAAGTCCATGTCTGTTCACACATCTGCTTGTTGTTTGACTTTCAGCGCTCAGAAACTATTTGCAATTAATGCTGCGGTAGAGAAGCTACTGTTGATGTGATGTTTTGAGCAATTTGGAACAGCAAGTCACAGGCTCCCTGTGTGTGTTCTAACTGTCTCAGTTAACTCTGATAGGTAAGTTTTAGTGTCTGTGACTTCTGAGTGAAAGTGTCCTGTGAGTTAGCCAGTGGGAGGTGACATGTGGTAGGAAACAGTAATAGAAAGCCTTCTAAGCATCATTGTCAATATATATCTACTGTCAGTAAATGAAGACATGAACATACAAATGGGGTGAGGCTAATAATCATTTGTTGGTTCTGGTACATGATCACAGGAAACCTTGCTAAAACTAGTCGAACTGAGCTAGTGGAAAAACCCTGTGTAGAGAAAAGGTGGCGTCACAACTACGGCGTAGCGTACTATTATTGCCCTTTCGCATAAGGTAGCAATAAAACACTGACAAGTCCTGATGTAAGCACCAGTTCCTGACAACAGAGGATGATGGGTGCAAGTGTTTTTGTGAGCATTTGGGAGTTGGAGCAAAGCAGCAGTTGACTCCAGCTGTTGGGAGTTTGGGTTGAGTACGCTCTGGAATATCCAGGCTGGCGGAAGCACAGGGGCCTCCTCAGTGCTCTGACGTCACAGACAGCTCCAGGGAATGCTTCGCATTCCTCTTCCTGGCAGTAGTTAGGTCATTTCCAGAAAACCAGGGAAAAAACACTGAAGGGTTATTTTCTGGAGCATTTGGGAGTAGAAAGTGGAGGGAGCCAGAGGGCTGAGATTGAAAACACATGGCTTTTTGAGAGGATATCTGGCTTTAGCGCTGCTTATGAGCCGCTTTATTCTATTCCTGTGAAAGAGTCGAGCCAATCAAATACACGTATTTATTTGAATATTCACAGATGTGTTGTAAAATCCTATTTGTCCAAATCAGCCTCCAGAGTTCCCTTCACATTTGGATTATATCAAATTATCTCCATTCTGTTTCAATAAGAGGTAATTTTCTTCAGAATAATCAAATCATAAGTGTAAGAACAAACCAACTTAACGTTCTCTGAGTTATTCAACTCTTAACAGTCGCAGTAGGTATAAGTGGAAAAAAACTGAACGGAGAGGATCAGCAAGGCTGGTAAAATTCCTCTTATCAGTTTCCTGTGTGACACTTGGAGGTAAAGGGAGGGGTGTGGGGGCTAACCTCCCACATCATTCCTGCAGAGTAAGTTGGCTCCTCCTACCTCCCACGCCTTGTTGTGAGTAGGCCGAGGCCTGAGCGGAAATACCTTCAGGGACTATTCACTTACAAACTGTGACGGCAGCAGCCCGGGCCACTCCTTACCCCGGCTACCTGTATGATGATGGCAGCTGCCCACTCACCTGATGACAATGGGGTCACACTTCCTGCATGGGCGCTGTTCCGGTTCCCATGAACAGCAAATTTTGCTCTGAGAAGATTAGAGGCCTCTATGATTACTGTTCCTCCATGCAGATTTTACCTTGATAAATGTCACTTTCAGGATTCCTCATTGCTCAAGAGTTGTAGTGTTTTTTATGGGCCAGAGAATTCTTTGTAAACTTGAGTTCTAAATAGATATTCAGTGTTTGTTTTTTGATTTTTTAATTTAAATTTTTTTTTGCTTTGACATTTAAAGAGTCTTCGGTGCCATTGTAACTGCTTTAATTCCTGTAAAGTTACTCAGTATTTAAGTACTGCATCTGTTGTCAGCACAAACATTTGCTTCGTACAATTTCATAGTATAGTAGTGAATAGGGTTGTCACGATACTAAAATTTTCAACTCGATACCGATACTCAGGAAAATACTCGATACTCGATACCATTTTCGATACCACAAGGATTACAAAAAGACCCCAAAATTTAAATGAATTTTGACAGGTTTGTGTCTTTCATTTCAAACTGACCTGTAACTAATGTTATCATGCCTGGTGGCCTACATTAATAACCCTAACCCTGACCATAACCCAAACCCTAACCCTACACCCTTCATAATTGTGAGAAATAAATATTTTTTGGTTAAACTTGTTTGGACTTATTGTACAAACCTATTTAACATACACTATTTTAACATAATAATATGTATAGAGTTTAATTAAGTGTTTGAAAGATTAATTTCACAATTTTTAAATGAATCTCTATATTGCCATGAGGCAATTAGGATTTTCCTGCCTGGAAACTTTCTATTGTTAATGTAACTATAATGGCCGACTTCGATGTGGGCGGAGTCGGATATGTACTTGATTAATGGTAGCACGTTATTATTAACCATTAGCCGAAGCTAGCAGTTCAAGGCTAACAACTTGTTAAAGTAACAACTTTTGAAAATGAGTATCGTATCCGGATACAACATTTTAGTAGCGATACTTTTTTGAGTATCGATACTTTTGACAACCCTAGTAGTGAATTAGTATAAAGTGGTTCATAGACTCTAGAACCGCATTTTTTCACAAGATAATAAGAGCATACAAATAATCCTCTGTGTTTAACTGTGCACCTGTGGGTGTTCATTTTCTTTCTGAGAATTGTATAACCTGTACTTAAAGGGGTTTAGTTGATCAATGACTAAATATCCATTCATTCATTTGCAGATGAGTCATCCAGGTGTCTCAGCCAGCAGGGTTATGATACAGTTTGTACTGAATGTGTTGGGGACATAATATTTGTAGTGTTCATAGTTTGGAGATATTTGGACCTTCATAGCCAGAAGGCAAACAACAGTGCAGGGAATGGAAGCGATGCCGGAAGCTGTCAGTACTCCACATGTTCTGGGTGATAATGATCACCAGATTAAAGAGTCATTTGATTTAGAAAAAAGCTTTTGATTTAACACTGGACAGAAATGTTGAAATAGCTCCAAATAAAATATGCTCAGATTTTGGGACTAATTTTTCATTCTAGAAATAGATATTTACTTCAGTTATTATTCAGTCATTTAGTAAATTATTTTGATAACTGCCGTTTTTAAGAACACCATATGTCTGCCTGTTCATATTAATAGATGTTATAAATTACTCCCAATAGAATGTTGCCAGCAGAAACTATTTGCAAACCTGCTATAAGATTCAACTGACACTTCCTGAAACTTACACTTAATGTGTCTAAAAGTGTCATTTACATGTCTGAAAAGGTTTCCCATGATATTTGGACTGCTTTCCCATTTTTCACAATCATCTGGAAGTTTAATTTATCTTTCTCTGCTCCCATGTCTGAAACAAGTCGGAACATGTGCAGCAATTCCAGTCAAAGGGTGCACTTGGCTCTGAATCAGCTTTAAGCCTTCATTTCGCATGAATCCAGTTCACATGTGGGAGAAATTAAGTTTCAATTCAGTCTTGGCATAAACCGTGTGCTGTAAAGTTGTCGGACTGTTATTCTTCTTCTTTTATTCTCAGGCTCAGTGAAACTCAGGTGTGTGGCATTTATCTGGATGGGCTTAAACAAGAAGAGGCTCGGCCTCTCCAACTTGGCTCACACGTAGATATCTGAAATAAAAGCCAGCTACAGTTACATTAACGATTAGCACAAGAGCAAACTGCCTTTGATTTGCTGATTCCATCAACAAACTCTCAGCCTGTTCATTGTGACAAGTGTTGAAGTATTTTTTCCCACAGATGGCATGCCATTTGGAAAGTGTTTTCTGAGGAGCTGGGCAGTTGCAGCCAGACGTTGCCTACTAAGAACTGCAGTTACTGAGCATAGAAAAGATTTAGTTTTATTTCTCCTAAAGAGGACAGGCGCATCCATTGTGTTGGTCACATGTCCTGGAGGAGGTCATTTTAGGCCAACAGATGCCGCTGGTCGACTTGAGCCTCAAACTAATGAACTAATGTCTAATGTCGACTAACGTAAAGAACTAATGTCTTTACAGGCAGAGTCTTTCCATGGAGGGCTTCAGCTGTCCTGTTATTCTGAACACGCACTTCAGCCAGAAGGTCTCAACTGTTTCGAAAGCAGCCACATCCTGTCCGAGGCTTCCTCCCTGTGCAGAGAGGCACATGCAGTCTTATTTGGGTAAAACGTTTGGACTGCTGGAGAAATGCATCAACGAAGGCGACGGTAACACCAGACAGGTGTGTGCCACTCAGCGTTACCAGAATTAGGAGTGTGCATCCAAAAATGTATTTCAGTGGTGTAAATTGTAGATCTTGTCGAAACTAAAAAAGACCTTATTGTGCAGCTTTACCTCCCTTTCACTCACCGAGGGGGGGGGAGATCTCATCAGTCCGTGAAAGAGATCAGCAGATAAGCCTGTAGTGACAGCACCTGTTTGTTTTATGTGCCGTGGTTTGGCAGCAAACCCTGATGCTCTTCTCAGGTTTAACTGGCACACAGCAACAAAACCTCTGGACACTTGTGCCAATATTCTCTGAGCTGGTAAATATCAAATCACAGGTGCAGCTTTGCAGACAGCAGTTTTACCTCAGGGCTCATCACAGATTCCTGACATAAATCATGCGCACAAAGAACAATACAACATTTCTTTAGGCATCTGATCCAGTCAGCTGACTTTCTGTCAGTGTCTGTCACAGCAAGATGAGACAAAAGACTGTACCGAATATTTAAGTCAATAGAAAATCTTCTGTTTTCCAGCAGAGCACTATGTAAAGCAGATTTCTTTTTAAATAAGATAAGTAACTAGTTAGAGTTTCTTGACTTTAAGCTACCCGTAAGTGACTGTGTGACCTATGGAAATTTTGTTTTGTATCAGCTGTATCAAGTGTGACGTAGAGATTAAATGATTTCAGCTGTTGGAGTTGAATTAGTAAGTGGTGGTGGAATTTAGATGTTTACCTGCTCAGGATTATGTCAGATAATCACTTTTTGTATTAACGTCTGTTGTCCAGATACCAGCATTCGAAAAGACAACAGTTTGTCAATTCTAATGTTTATTTCCCTACTAAGCATTTCACATACTTTAGATATCAAATAAGCTTTGTTATTGATAATGAAGTAAATAAAAAAAGGATTTATTTTTGCTGCATATAAAGAAACTATCATTGATTAATCTGCCATTGCTGTCAGTATTTCAGATTCCTCTTCTCTCATGAGCGACCTGCTCTGTTAACTCCTCACTGAGAAGCCTTGTGCGGGTTTTCCTCTCGTGCGTCCCCTACAGGTTGCCACTTCTGATGCTCTGCGAAGCTTTGGAGGATCAGGCATTTTGACGAGACACTGCACCTCCCTCCTGGAAGCTATTGAAGGCCTTGGCCAGGCTGGCTCGGTGGAGCAGGATGTGAAAGTAATAGTTCAGAGGGTTTACTCCATCCCTTTGGCGGACTGCTCTCCCGTGTCCATCCTCAAACATAGAATCCCTCTTGGCTCCTCCACATCACCTCCTCCTGCAGAGAAAAGGAAAACCAGGTACAGTTGGACATTTAGATAGTTGATGGCTTGGCAGGGAGGAAGGGGGGGGGGGGGGGGGGGGGGGGGGGGTTGGGGGGCACTTTGGTTTATCACTGAATGCCAAAAGAGACTTGGAAAAATCAGTCCTGTTTTATCTCCTGTGTACGCTCTGCCACAATATAAATTGTTCTTTTTGTTCGAGCTGCATGCTGGTTTCCTGGGTCTCAGGCCTTGCATGCATCTCCTTGGTGGCAAGATCTGTCTCAGTGGTAGGACTATTGTTCACAGAGCAGCAGGCCCCACAGAGTGCTCACACTGTCTCCAGCCATATGGCATTGCTTGACAAAGGACACAAACATTTCTAATTGAAGCCAGCTTCTCTGTGAGTGGTCATGGACAATTCTCTGGAAAGACAGCGTGATGTTTGTAGAATATCTTTACTCTTGAAAGCCAGAGTTAAATCAGTACCTAAACTTAAAAAGTAGCAGGGCTTTTTTTCTTTGTTTTTTAAGGTAAGAAGTTATATACATTTTTAGTATAGAGCGGTGTTGAGAAAAGTAATATGGCCATTGTCAGCATTTACGGAGAGCAGCATTAAAATGGCACTTTGTATTATTGAATATTATTATTAAGACGTTTTGGCCTTTTAATGATCAATTAAGACCATGGACTGAATTTATTTATTCACTTATTTTTAAACTTGCCGCCAGTGAACAACATGGATTGCATCAGACATTTTCAGCAGAAAAATGAATCAACTGATGATGTCATTTACGCGCAGCCACTTTTTTTTGGCATCAGATCAGAGACTGAACAGTTTCTCTTAACAGTTTTGTTTTTCCTTGATTAAAAAGGCTGAAATCTTAGGAGCTGTGCATTTTACAAGTAAAGCAACACCAACGACCACCTGACTGCACATTTACACAAATCCTTGATTTTTGCATTGTTTCTCTAAATGTGGGAGCAGAAAGTTCACAGCATGCACTGTTCTGTTGGGAAATGAAAATCTGTAAATGGATGTTGTGAGGAGCAAAGTAAGAGTTCACCAGAAGAATATTGACCGCTGGTTGATTCTTTCCTATTTACTGATTGTCTAATGGCAGTCGAGCTGAAAATCCAATGGTTATGGCTGATAAATCTCTGCACCCTAAGTCTTTGTTTTATCCTGCAGTGGGGGAAAACGGACATAGTAGCCAAGAAATGTGCAAAAATGTCACGATTTAATGATTCAGGATCACAGCAGAGCACATCCAGTGCACAGATGGGAATCGGCACAAGCCTTATGTGCTTGCTGAAATGAATGTCCTGATATACTCTGGTCTACTTATAGCTAATGTTATGTCAGCTTCCATTTCTAACTCATTTTCCTGTCTGATGAGGATAAATGAAACAAAGCTAGAGTGACTATGATGCTTTATTAGGAGCTCAGTTGCCTTCAAATTGAAAAGAAGAGCAGAGATTGTAAAGAAGCACATAAGTTAACTGCTGGTGTTTGACCTCAAGTAGTATGGAAATACTTTTTACAACCATGGTAAAATACGATCATATATCTTAATGGAAAGTAGATGCAGTGTACCCCCATTCTGCCTGAATAAGGTACAATACAGAGAAATGCATAAATGGCCCATCTCTTTTAATAAATATACAGGCTAACCATAACGTCTGTTGTTTTCTGAACAAGGAAACTAATAAATGATAATTTATAAAGAAATAGTTATTATCACCTTTTGAGTTTTTCATTCCAATTTCATCAGAAGATAAAAATAATCTTGAACAGCAATGTACTGTGACAGGTCTGCAAATGGTAAATGGCAGCTTAGTAAATGGCTTTTGGTGGGGGAGTGTGTTGGGATCTTTAAATTCCTTACTAGCATTTGAACTGCTCTTAAATGTGTTGTGTTTGGCTCTAAGTAACATTGGATGGGGTCATACATTCTGTGCCAGAGCCATAAGGGCCACTTTTCCTCGAGTTGCTCTCATCAAGGAACCTAATAACTAGGGCCAAAGTCAGCATATTTATGCAATGCCAAAAAAACAAAACTCTATTTATTTTTAGGCTGAGAAAAATAAAGAGCTTTACAATACATGTAAACAAGTTATCCTGACCACAACCGCACAAAATCTAATTCCCAAAGCCTCTCTGACACACCCAGATAATGTGGCTAGGAGTTTAATTACTCCAGAAGTAGAAGCGGGAACAACAAAGACAGAACCACAAGCTATAGCATGCCTTTTTTTAAAAAGAATGGTACTTAATCCATCTGAAAACCCTTTAAAACTGCTCTCATTCACATATTTTTCTGTTTCTTTTGTTGAGCTTGTGACGTTACTATTGCTTAAACTATTCTGAGGCTTTGCATTAACAGTGTCAAAACCAGCGCTGAAGAAAACTAAATTTCAAGCCATGTCTGTGTGGCGATAAATTAACTTGGATCATTGTATCCCACAAAGGAAGTTAGAAGCAGGAGAATGTCTTCTGATCCAGCCCTCAGCTTTACAGCCCCGAGTCCCCTGTGGTCAACAAATGCTGTCCCCTCAGGCTAATGCAACACTAAAAACCATTCTTTACTTGTCTATTTATCTTTTTTAATTGATCTTTTTGAATGAGAATGAGCTTTAGTGGAGCTGCACTGTGTTTACAAAATGCACTGTGTTTGCAGTCTTATCGCGTGCTGGGTTAGAAATGCAAAAGACTGCCTGGAATGCAATAAATTTGAGTTCACACTCAACATGGCCTGATTTAAATCCAAAAGTCAAATGGAGGAGTGAAAGAACTTTGGCATTTTTTTACGTATTTCCAGTCATATGGTGTTATGGGTATTAATGGTAATGCTACTTATTGCACGATTACTTCAAATCTGCTCTGTTGTTTGGCTTTTAGCTGATTTTTTTTCCTCTTTTTTTTTTTGTTCTGTAGTGACAAAAACCAAACCAGTGTGACTCATTAGCAATGGACCGAAAACTTTGGCAGATCAGTTCATATCTGTGCTATGAAATAACTGATGTAACACATGTTGTTACTGTTTCAGAAAATAAGCCTATCTACTTGAGCAGAGTTGGACTTTCATTTTAAAAGCCGGATCTTCAGATAAAGAAACTATAAGTTTGTTCTGATGCTGGTTTTCCTCTGATACAAAGAGGAGTGACTGATGTAGCTTTTCTCATTTGTTTGTTGACAGTATTTAATACTTTTGACACTTCTAATAATACATCTATAACATAAAAAGTGCTGAAAGTGGAGAATGATGCTCAAGGTTTTTCTGTTGTTTATTTTTTGTTGAAAAATTGAGCTTCCCGTGTTTCAGAAGAGGCTCGGACAGTTCTGTGAGTGGTCTTGTGGTTGATGAATCAGTGAATGTGCCGTTTGGAGAAAGGCCATCACGTTTAGCACCATGGCTTTCCCCTGGTTTGTTGTTTTTGTTCTTTGCTGAGTAATAAAAGTATTGCTTTCTCTAAAAGTGGAGGGGCCTGAGGGGGACTCTGCAGTTGGAGGGAGGGGAGCTCTGGTCAGCTGACAGACTCACTGGCTGAGCCAGCAACAGCTGTAATATGACTCTCCTGCCACGATGCGTCTGTGGCTGATAAACAAACGGCGACTTCTGACCGGAAACACTGCCCTTCCCTCGGTTTCTCCCCAACTCGGCCAGATGCAGCAGGCTCTGTGGAGTGAGAGGGTGGAGGTTGGGACTGAGGTTAGGAGGTGATCAATTGCATGTTCACAATATCTGGATGACAAACACTGTAGCCGTAAATTGCTGAGAGATGAAATTCCTTTTTTTTTTTTTACATGATTTTTATCTGTCTCAGTCATTTATATGTATGATTGGGCTATTTTAACAAATGTATGGTTTTATACGGATGTTATGGCCCTTGTTCACATACCTGCACAGGAACAACGTGTGGCTCACTGTGTTGTAGAACTTTTCCTCTGCTCCTTGTCAGTTTACATCGCAGCCATCTCGCCTCAGTCTGCATAAAAAGAGGGACACTTTGTACCTCTCATGAAGTGTCCCCAGCCTCTCTGACTCACTCCTCTGGCCAGCATGCTTATTTAATCCTTTTGTTGTTTAGGCCCTGTGTTAACACACGGGGGACTCGGGCCAGGGTGATATTTATGCCTGAAGAAGATGTTAAGTTCCCGTAACTTTGAAAAAGAATAAACAAGAAGATTAACTGTTTGCAGGAAGTGAGGAGAGTCTAGTTTTCGTCTTTTTTCCCCCCCCTCCCTTCAGCAGAGAAGGAACACAATGTGCTGCGGGGATCCTGTTACAACCGTGTTTATCACCCCGCCTGCACTGATTGGTGGACAACTGGCAGGAAGGAATCCCGCCTGTCCACCCCCCACCAATGAAGCTTCTCTGCTGTATTCTTAAAGTGTGGGTCACTCACCTAACGTGTTGCCAAGTAATGTGAGTGTGTGCTCGCTCTCAAGCGCCCACGGTGTGGCCGCGTGTGTTTGTGTGAGTCTGCGCAGACTCGCTGTGTCGCACTTCCTGGAAGAAAACCTGACTTGCCGAGAATTCTGTGATAGTTCACAATAACAGATTCCTGAAAACGTCCAGTGGCATTGAATTTCGGGAGTGTGGGTTGGGGTCAGTATTTTTTAGGAAGTAGGACTGGGACTGAGGGGGGGAGCTGGTTGTTTATGTGGAGCCAGTGCTACATAAGTGTCAACCCCCCCTTTTTACTCTTGCTGGCCATGCTGCAGTTCTTTAAGTCTTATCCTGCTCCTTTTAAAAGTGTGAGATGTCTATTTTCTTGTCCACCATATAAAGCTCAAACTACATTTGTTTTTGTTTTGTATTTTGGAGCAACTCTGTTACTGATTTACTGAATAAACATGGTTGGACAGAATAAACTCTTTTAGGCATGTGAAACAGGGCATTGTTGTCTCACCATGGGGAAGCAGAGATGACCTGAAATGTCCAAATACTCCACATAAGTAACCCTGCGGTATCTTTTTTTTGCCTTGGATGATTCCCAGATAAAATAACCTGGATGTATATCTGTAGATGTCTTAATAATGGTTGAATTACATCATTACGAAAAGAAAGAAGCTTGAGTATATCCTCTCACCTCTTTTCACACAGGAAACACTGGACCTTCTTTGTGAACGGAAATGAGAATAATAATTGACACTTTTTCATTTTACTATTTTTCTATCTCTTATGATGTGTTCTTGCAATGTGAAGAAAAGGTGCCCAGGAAAAGTTTATAGGTAGTCGTTCTTTGGGCTGCCAATAGAAATTCCTTAACATAGCCAAGAAAAATTGTCACAAGCTACCTTAATGCTTCACAGTTTGGCTCGTCCAGCAAAGATCAAAGGTGTCTTTAAAGATTTCTTCTTGGATGAAAAACGAGATGGAAGGATGGTTCCTCTATAGGTGTCGATGAGCATTGAAGGAGGAAAAGACAAAGTCTGGAAAGGCCCTTGTTTCTGTTAATTCCAGCTGCATTAAGCTCTTTGCCAGATGTTTTGTTTGCTAATGGTTTGGCAAGATGAAGGTTTTGCTCTACAGTCACTTCAGCAGCTGAATAATTTAGAATTCTAAAAAGCCGATCTCATGCACTGTGACCTGTCCCTGAGGCTCCCCTGTCCTGAGCCGTGCGCCCCACAATTCCATTTTCATTTTCATTTCAGATCACTGGATCACTGCAGTTTCTCACATGAAGGCCGCTCAATGCCATTCGTGCTGCTAGCATTTGGCCTCTTGGGGAGACAAAAAAACTCAAACTTTAATTGGCATCCACTGAAGCACAAATTTCTTCCCCCCTTAATTATATTGGCAGTGTTTGTTCTAAATGGAAAAAAGGACTCCCTTATATCCCTGTTCATAATCTAAAAAGTTTAAGAACCTTTCATATTTTTAACATCATAGCCTTTGTTTTATAAAGCTTGCTATTGTTTAAAACTACATCAAACTGAGCATAGTATGGGTCTGTTTTAGGCCACAATGTGTATTAATCAGCATTTTTAAAGTTGTCTAGCTTTTTTACTTCCATCTATATTTCTGTCCCAGTGAAATCTAAACGTTTTTAAAGACAGAAGTTTTGAACCGCTCCCTTCATCAAAATGCTCCCCCCAATTTGTACACCCCTGCTAGTCCCAGTTGTATCGATGTTGGTAAATAATTTCCAACATATAATTTTCTACCATTTATCTCAGCTGAAGTCAGTTAACTTTTCAGAACTTGCTCTAATCAGCACCCCTCACAAGTCATTGGCTAAATTGACCTTTTGACCCTTGTGGCAACCTGAAAAGCGATGGAGAAGCTGTTGTGGTCTATCCTGAGTTGCTTGTAAGACTGAAAACGATTGCAGTACACTAAAATAAGCATGTTTTTTGGAGCACTTTGCCTTTGCCTTCATCACGCTGCAAGTTGCAAGCTTGTCGTGAGCTGTGCTGACACGTGCGTCGACGTCAGAGCGGGTGCTTGTTTAACGGGGCGCGTTGCAGCTCGCTGCCAGCTGTTCTCTCTGAAACAGAAGAACATATATGTGGACAAAAGCCCTCCATCAGTTTCGACAACATTTTGCTACAATAACTGAGTTATTGTCGTTTGTAATAGGTCCGGTCACTGACACTTGCTGTTATATTTATGTTTTTGAAACGATGGGAAAGTCGTTTTCCGTCAGTAGTTACCGTATTCTGGGTGTATTGTCATGCGTGACTGGATAAAAGATAAAATTCCCAACCTGTCACTAAGTAACTGGTGCATTCAGTGATGGAAAACCCAACCTTGGAGCTTGGGTGGTGGTTAGTTTACTGTGCTCTACTTTTTGAATCTCTGTGCTCATGTTTACAGCTTCATGATACGCTCAGGTTTGTATGTCAAACATGTCTCCACATAAAGAATGTGTGTGAGACTGTTTTGGGATTGCAAATTAAGCAAACAGCTGAGAATAAGCTTGCTTGAAAACATTGGCTTATACCTCTCAGAGTCATGCCGGGAATGTTATTTAGATATCTATTTCCATGTCTCCTATGACAAACACAGACCGACCCCTGGTTTAGCTACATAAAATTCACAGGTCCAATCAGGTGGTTTGAAAACAACCTCAAAACTTTCCCAATGTATGTGATGTGCACATGCCTACTGGACAGTCCTCCTCCCTTTTCGATACTTTTTTTTTTCCTCTTCCTCCTCCTCTTTCTCCGGCTTTTGCTCGTCTAACCAGGGGATATGAACTCCACTGTTTACTCTCAGGGCTTGTACAGGGCCGTGTCTGGGCTTGACTTACTGATACTGGAGCCTGTAGCAGTTCAGGCCGTTGGCTCACTGGGAGAAGCAGAGCGCAGGAATATGCAACAGTTCACTGCCTCCCAACGTTGTGGGCCAAAGGTCTACCTGTCAGCAGCTGCCTGTCAAACCAGCCTTTGACATTAACACTCACAGATGACAGGACAAAGCCTGAACTGTGTGTTGTTTGGGTGCCACTGCAAGCAGCAGTGTCTTGTTCCTGGAAATATGATTTGGGGTGAGATTATTTTTATTCTGTAAAAGGATAAGTGCTAATTTCAGCATGAATAGACTTATTCACAGCCCCATTTTACATGTTTTTGTGTCCATATTCCTAAAAAATAGCGTCCGCTTCCACTGAGACTGTTCAGCTGCTATATTTAAACACTCATGACATGATTTGACTTAAGTTTGCTCAAAAGTTTAAAAAGGAAGGCTTTCCTTGATTTAAAACTGTATGCGAGCAGAATAAAAAAAAAACACTTGTGTTTGACTTGTTTGGTTTAGCTGGTTTACAAAACTGTCCCTTGTTTTCCTGTGATTAACGACATGTCAGATTTCTGCATGTATACACAAGTTTGAGAAGAAATCCACTTTAAATAAGAAAAATGACATCTGGCTTCATGTGGAAGAAAGTTTCTACAAATGTTTATCTGTTTTGCTGTTCTCCCAGGTTGTGTGTGCTTGTCCAGGATGGCTATGGGATGTTCAGCGTGGTGCAGCTCCACACCCTCGCTCACAGCGACGAGCTCCACCAGTTCTGCCAGATGTGGCAGGGGAGGACCTGCCTGCTCAAAGGCATTAAAGTGGTGCAGAGGGTCACTCGAGAGAGGTGAGGCTCGCTCCGTCCCCCTGTATCCATCTGTATCGGTCTCAATCACTTTGCATCACAATTTAAGGTCATAGCACTTAAATAAGACTTAGCATTTAACCGGCAGAAGGTTGTGATGTGGGTTTCTGCTTGACGTGAGGTTATATTCCCTAAATCTTTTTCAGACATTACGAATTTTGATAAGAAGTGCCGGGAGGGAGCATCGGAGCTTAATCCTAAACACTGCATGCATACAGTACATATCTACTGTAGTGCCTCTTTTGTTAGCAAAGACATTTCAAACATTAGCCCCCCAATTTACAACACAATTAGAAGGTAATGTTTGCAACTCACATGAACCTGATCATTCTGTTCTACCAGAAGTGCAACTGTGTTTACATGTAAATTGATACTGAAATGCATGCCCTGTGTTCCTCGTGAGTTTCCATAGTCAAGAGCCCAGATTAGCAGCAGTTAAGAGAGCTGAACTGACATAGGAACATTCAGAGACTGACTGGGGATATGTTTACATCCTTGGTATTTTCAATTCCTCCGCTGCCTATCATTTCCATGCGGGTTATCTGTGGTCAGACCATGAAGTATTAGATAAATGGGCGTCTTATTACTTCACTACATGTCTGGACGTTTATGTGAAATCAGGCATACATTTAAGTTTCAGAGGATTGTTTTCAAGCAAAAAACTGTTCTGTTGGCCATATTGCGTGATCACTCTCGTGTTGACAATTGTATGCTTTAGAAACTCTGAAATAAACAACATGGAGCTCAGAGGGACCATAAACCCATCTTAAAGTTTCCTAATTAGCTGTCTTTTGTCAAGACTCCCAGCCAAGAAATGGCCTAACATAAACCCCATAAAGCTGCTGTCTGTCATCCTGAACTGAAGTGTTTGTGTGTGCTTGTGCGTGTGTGTGCGTGTGTGTGCGCTCATCAAACAAACAAAACATATTTGGCTAATTAGTGAGTTTTTTTAACGAATTCCACCCACCTTTATTCCCTGCTTTGTGCTAAGCTAACTTGTAGCTTCACGTTGGACAAACTCATTTGAGAGGGCTTCCAGCCGCCACACCAAACTCTTAGCTTGACGGTGAAGAAGGTATTTCCCCAAGTGTTGAAACGCATCATTAGCGTATTAGTCTCTGAGAAGTGGGAGTTTTTTAAATGATCAGCCTGACGTGCGGTTAGATTATTGTGGCCTAAATTGTCACTCTGATCTTCACAGGAAGCAAGTAGAAACATTTCTGGATTCATGCCAAATCAATTAAAAGTGAAAGCTAGGAAGGACTGATCAACATTTCCGCACCGAATGACTATAGATACGTGAAGACGGCTAATTCAGAGCTCTGGCCACACCTTAGAGTGACTGACTCAAATGTCCTTAAACACAGCGTATACAAGCTCAGGATAAAAAAAAAATCCCTGTTGAATGATCTCTGTTAGTTTAACATTAGTCATTCATGAAGAGGCTAACTGGACTTGACTGGGCTGCAGAACCAGTTCCCAACAAAGGAAGCATTGTTATTCCGGGTGGACGAACAGGTTATTAACTACTAGCTGATATGAATGAACAATTTGCAGTGACTTGAACCCAAAAAGTTTTTCTCAGAAGAGTAACTGACAATGAAGTCGATCGCTGATGTTTTTCCCCAGTTCTTTTCAAAGCTGTATCTTCAGGATCAGTTTGACGTCATAAAAGTAAAGCAAGCATGATCTGGAATAATTTGTCCTGTTGACAGATGCTTCACTCGTCTCTGACGTGGACACTTTAGCTTACTTTTAATTGGTTTTCTAGCTCTTGTCATTTGTTCACCACAATATTATAATTTACATTGGGTGTGAACAGTTGTCAGTCTTTTAAGACCCGCTCATAAATCCTATCTCTGTGTGGATCTGCTCTGCCAGCCCCAGCATGCTTTCTGTTGATTGTATGTGATGAAAAAAAACAAGCTCTGTCTTCACAAATTCTCATGTCGGTGGAAGTGAAACTGGCTGTGAAAGCTCTTGATCTCCCCTCTAAAGTCCCTTATTCAGTAGTTTCTTAAACATTCCCCCCCTTCAGTGCCCCTCCTCACTCGCTCTTGTTTCCTTTTTTTGTGTCTCATTTGCAGGCGCTCCAGGCTTTTCAGCCTGATAGACAGCCTGTGGCCCCCAGCAGAGCCTCTTCAAGTTCACGGAAACTCACTTAGTATTCCTGTTGTAAGTTCTCACTATAGTGAACACGGTGCACACCCTTCAGCTAATCGAAACTTTATCAACCGAGAACAAAATAACTTATTTTATTAGCTGTAAAACAGCGGAATATTTTCTAAATATGTCCTTTGTTTAATGTCACCTATCTGTCAAATCTACCACCAGACAATATACTTCCAAAATCAAATTATTGTGTAATACACACAGATGTATTCATCCAAATCAGATTATCCTAAATTCAATTTTCCAAAGTTAGCTGGAATCATAACTTGGCTACAGCCCAACTTTACCATTGTACCATTTAGCTAGACCACTGTCCCTTTCCCAGCATTCAGCAGTGATTGAAGCTTGTCCAAAGCTGGGGACTGCATGAGGGAATATTCATGACATTCCACAGGACTGAGAAACATAACTCAACATAACTGATTCATAAGCAATCGTCTCTTTTTAATGTGACTTGAATAAACAAAAGGTCCAATTTAAGAATTGTGCAGAAATACGCGAGGGGTTCTGTGTGTACAGGAAAGCAAACCTCCGGGTCTGGCTCCGGGTTTCTGCTACCTGCTGTCCGGTCAGCAGAGCTCCGTTGAGCCTGCTGAGGGTCAGATTCTGTCCCCGCTCTACCTTCAGCCAACAAAGCGAACTCTACGGGACATACTGCAGGTGAGCGGGCTCTCACTGCACGTTCACACAAATTTGCAGCAACACTCCTTCGACTCAGTTTGAAACTCTTTATTTTTTCTCTTCCTTCAGAGCGAGACAGAGGGGCTCCGCTGCAGCTTCGTGGCTGCTGTTTTATACACAAGAATGCAGGTATTTCTGCTACATACCACGGAAACGTTGATTTAATCTAATTGTATGCAGTGCGAGAGCTAAGTAAATATTACCCCCCAAATCTGCTCATTGTTGAGATCATTTAAACTAACAAACTGATAAGCCCCGAGCTCTGACGTAAAGAGCACCGGTCCAATTGCTCTCTGTATGACAATCTCTGTGAGGCCCTGCTGTTCTTCATTATTGATTACCGAGAACTTTAAACTTTGACCAAGATGAGATAGCAGCACAGATCAAAGTGGTGGACTTTGCCACGCACTCACACCACTTTTGAATATTGCACTAGTAAACCGGCATTGTGTGGAGCTTCTTAAATGAATAATCTTATCAAAGCAGTTTTAAAGGGCCCGTCGAGACACATGACAGTTTCTACCTAATTTCTGCCTTGTAAGCTTTTCTTGTGTTTCCTTCAAATGGTCTCTTTCTAGGTCATTCCGTCTTCAAATAAATGCTCTGCTTTCTGATTAGGTCTGCCTCTGTTTTAACTTCAGAGCTCTGATGTAGGCCGTGGCGAGGTGTGGTTGGTGCTGACAGACTCTAGCCTTCAGCAGGAGCAGCCAGAGAGGCCATGCAGGCAGACGGTGGCTCTGTGCGTGAACGCTTCCTGTGTGCTCACATCTACCGTCCTCGAAGCACTGAATTCCCCCACCGTCTGTCACATGTCATTCAGAGATGCCATCAGAGAAAACGGTAGAGCTTTGCTGTGACCATCGAAGCCATATCTGTTTCACCTCACAGGGTCGTCGGCAAAGAAAGTTAAAGATCGACTTTCAAAACGAGCAGCTTTGTGCGGGGAAAGAAGTGGTTGTGTCTGGGGTTTCATTAAACTGCACATGAATGTGCTGGAGGCTTTCCGCTGGTCAAGATGGAATTTGTACTTTATATAAGGTCAGGAACTAAAGTCCAGTTAGGTTTGGGCCCCACCCTAGGCTTACAGAGTAAAGCGCTTATGTGATGATTAATCGCGTAGGAAGGAAGAGCAAAATCACATGTAGTTTTTCTCAAAAGCATCTAAGCCCTTCCACAGGAGCGTAAAGAGAGTTTATCCCTGCATGACTGGCAAGCGTAAAACAAAATGTATCAGGCAAAAAAATGTGAAAACCTCATTACCTGGTAAGGTTTGTTTTGCAGAGTGAGCTCATTATACTGAAACTGCAGCACAAATTTATGCTAAATTACTAACTTTATGCTAACTTTATAAAAATTTTAGGGGAGGAAAATAAGTTTTGGACAAATTAATTGGCTCGTGATGGGGTAGGCTGGCATCGTTTCTCTGATAGGAGCCCTAATGTAAGATAGCTGCTCCAGGCTAATATCTGGCTAATATCTGTGTGCAGTTTTGATCAGTGTAAAAAACAAACTTTCAAACCACATGTTTTGACAATTTTAAGGAAGCTAGTGCTACTCCCCGGATATTCAGTGACTTGTGCAATTCCTCATTTCCCCAATTCTCTGTAAAGTGCAAAGTCAGCACGATTGACAGAGCCTTAATCGTAACACTAATGCTAATGGGCAGTTACCATGTAGAAACGACACAGTCTGAACATGTACAGCAGCTTTTGATCAGTTTTTGGGATTTGCATTAAAAAAACAAACAGAGTCTGTAGAATCAGGAAGAATTAACCCTCTGATTTCAAATTCTTTTCATGTCTGCTCCACACACATCAATGTGTGTCTGCAGGTTTTATGCAGAGCTGCTGCATGCATTTAAAGAGCTAAAGAAAGTCTGTTGTTGCTCCAGAGGGAACAGGGATTGATCTGATTCAGTAGTGTGTCTGGAGTTAAATGGCTCTATTGTTGTAGTGGTACATCTGTTAAACGAGTCGGCTGCTTCCTCTGTCATCGCATTTGAACCGGACTTCCGGTTTGTGGGCAAGCACTGGCGCATATTTCCTTTTCGTAGTAAAATGTCATTTTCATTGTTTCCACAATTAGGTGTCCTGCTCTGCGTGGAGCAGTCCGTTATTCAGGTTTGCTCTGCCGAGCCTGAGGGAAGTATCGGTTCCCGAGCCCAGCCCGCCTCCCTTTCACCGTCTCTGTCTGAGCCCCAGGTGAAGACCCTGCCTCAGCATGTGAGGCTGGATCCCCTGAGTCTGGAGACCACGCCCAACTCTCTCTGCACAGTCACAGGTCCGTCCCTGTCTCTCACAGTTTGGAGGCTTTCCATGGGATTTTTCTCTTTCCAATTTTACAGAGCAAGCTGAATGTTCATTTTTTTATGCCCTAGGGAAAGAAACCATTTGATTTTTATAAGTTGAAGTTTACAGCACAACAAGAGGCTTTGATGTTTCATCCAGGCAGTGTGTTCTGCTGTTTTTTATTTGGCCAGATTCAGCAGGCTTCCTTTGTTTGGGACTATATGAAATAAAAGCACATGACGAATTGGGAGATTTATGTCCACTACAGTGCCATTGTGCATTAATAAGAGCAAGCTCGTTCCTCATGAAACTTTCTCTTGAGGATGGTTTCATGATGTATAAAATTGTTTTTTTATATTCCTTGTGTCTCTTTTTTGTTAATAGCTTTTTTTAGTTCAATTTGAATGTGAGTTTCATTTGAAGCCTTTTTTCATTTTCGCTGACATCGGCCACGTTTTCCACCAAGATGAATAAACTTCTCCATTTTTAGTCTGAGTTCAAATGAGTTGATTAAAATTCCTCTTTATAAATCTTTTCATTTTTTTCCTAATGGTGTTATTGTGGTTAGGAGCCTTAAAGCAGATGATAATCTGCATCTGCTGACTTCACATCGCATTTGAGTGCAGAGATCAAGCTGTGAAGCCTCTTGGCTCTGTCCTCTCCCTCTGTAGATGTTTGATCAGGTGGCCGTATGAAAATAAAAACAAATTCTTTTCAACCCAAACTTTTAGTGCACAAATCATACTGTCTGGAAATTATTAGTGAGGTGAAAAGAGGCGCGAACAGAAAGTACAAAAACGTATCGTCTGGTTTAAATCCAGAGACTTGTTTAAGGTCCCGTGTTTGTGCGCGTGAGGCAGAGTTTTGGGTCTTCAAGTGAGAAGGTTGTTAGGAGAGCACATCTCTCTGCTGGGATCTCTGATAAATGGTTTTTATCTCCGACACCCCGTTATATATGTGGATCATTTGTCGGTGTTATTTTTGTTAGCTGTTTTTGTTCATTCCTTCCTGTCTGCAGGGGTTATAGTTGGTGTGGATGAGAACACTGCATATTCCTGGCCCACGTGTAATCTCTGTGGAAGTGACAACTTAAAGCTCTCTCCTGAAAGATGGTGAGCTATGATTATGTGTACAAAAAGAGAAGAAAAAAAAAAGTTACCATGACAACACATAACACCATATTTTGTTGACGCTCTTCCTGCAGTCGGATCTTTCACTGCGACTCCTGCAAAGCGGTGGTGGACAAGCCCGACACAAAGGTCCAGCTGGAAGTCTTCCTCCAGTGCTCCTTGTTAAGTGACTGCACCGTGAAGGTTAAGGTGAGAGCATCACAACCCCCACAGTGGCCAGCTCAGACTTTCAGAAATATTTGAGTCTTGCATTGTGTTCAGAGGTTTTACTAATTATCCTGGGGAATACAGATGAGTTCAATCTTTGGAGGGAAAATCTGTCAGACTTAGCAGCCTGTTGGTGTTGCCTAAAAACTGGAAATGGATCCACTTGCTCCATGTAAAAAGTAACTTAATAAACTTGTGTCTCATTATTGCAAGAACCATATCTTAATCAGTACAAACTTAATGTGTAACCACTAAAATTTGAGTTTTGTTGTGGATTTTTGTGCCTTACAGTTGGGCCATGTTATATAGAAAGAGCTTCAATGTGTTAAATATGTTGATTGAAGCCTTCTTTTGGGCTACTTCTTGGTTTTCTTATGGTCAATTTTGTAGATAACAATTATATTTCCCGAAGTTTTTGTTAAATGTTTCAGAAAAAGGGCATATAGAAATATACCATTAAAACCCATCAGCACCACTTCATTATACAACCATTTTGAACACTTGGTAATTAAGGAGATTTTAGTGAAACTCTGTGGTCAAAAATTCATGTGACTTCTACAGGCCTCTTAGTCAAAGTTTGTCACAAGTCTGTGCAGGCAGAAGTCACCACATGACACTTTTGTTTTCGCTGGCCTCTCAGATCAACATGGTGACCCTTCACACTGTTTTAATCATGGCCACATTAAAAGGAATGATGTAAACCAGTTCGACAGCAGAAAATCACAAATAGTCAAACAGAAAGTCTGGAGAAGTGATACTTAAAAGAAACATCTTCAGGGACACGATGGTTAATTGGTATCACGTCGGTGGCTTGATTAGGTACAAAAAGCACCTTAGACAGCCAGAGTCTCAGAGGCAGACGGTCAGAGCTTCAGCATTATGCAAAGTACTGCATCTACAAATTGTGGAACATTTTCATAACATTGATTCTGATCGTTCCTCAACCTTAAATCGTGAATATTTATTATAGTCCATAATCTGCACAAAAGTTGTATCTGGAAATGCCTCTGGAAGCCTGCCTGCTCCAGATGCAGCCTAAATAAAAAAGTCGACTGCATTCTGTCATTAAATCACCGCAATGGTTCAGGAAAAACCTCCAGGAGCCGTCGTCTGTTAGCACAGCTCCATCCACAGACACGGGGCAGAGCTCTGTCACACCAAAAGGCAGCAAAAAGTGAACATGTCCCAGGAACACTGCAGTCTTCATTTACTGGACCAAAGTGGGAAACTGGCCTGTTATCAGAACTCAAAAGGCGAGATAAGACTCAACACAAGCTGCATTTGCCTGCAAAATTCAAGATGAGCAAATCCTTTTCATGAAACTCTTATTCTTTTTTTAGTATAATCTTGATTTAAGAGATGTAGTTATCATTGCTTTCAGTTTTCTAACCTTGTCCAAAGTTTCTTTTGGAAGTGGGTTAGGAAAAGGAGGGGGAGGGTGAGTAATTGCTAAGCTCAAACCTTTTCAAAAGTCCTCCTTTGCTTGCAGCGCAATCAAGACTCATAAAGATTGTGTTTGCGCTCTGCACAGGTTGGAGTAAAGACCATGCGTGTCTGTTTGAAGGTATTTTATTGCAGAAAAACCTGGCATTGCCGCAATCAAATATCTAAGTGAGCCAAACTGATAAAGTTATCAATGTTCTAATCGGGCTGCTCATTTTCCAACCCCCCTCCAGCTGTTGCTCGGCAGAGCGAAAAGTCTGTTTGTGCAGCATTTGTTTTTCATTTACAGCTCCAAGGTGATAATTAAAAAGACATTACTTACTGTGTGTGTTTTAATCTCCCCGACAGCTGCAGCAGAAGACAATCATGTCTGTACTGAGCGCCACAGCTCTGGAAGGTGATGAGGTGAGTTTACTTACCCAAACGGTTACATAAGCTGTCAGTGTGGGCTCAACTGGAGGGGCTTCCATCGATCATCTGTCAGCGCGCCCTGAAATACCAGTCATCCGTTCACCGGGATGAGTATCCTCAGTGTCAGCATTGGCATAACCCCAAACTCCCTTTGATATTTAGTCATTATGTGTTTTTTCAATTATTTTTTTTTTCACTCATTTCTTACATAACTTGCAGTCATCTTAGCTATTTTTAAATCAATCCAACACATTCCATTTTTCTGAGTTGGAATGTATGTTTGATTTAATGAGTGAATGTTCATTCTCATTCAGAACTACTTTAGAGCAGTGGGAGCTGTGTAAAGCTCAGGGCCTGAAGTCCAGTTGGATTAAATGTTATTGAATTTGAGATTAGTGGGGGGGGCGGGGTTCTTGTTGTTGAAAGTGAACAAATCCAATTAAAATCAAACGGTTTGGAAGCGTAGAAATGTTCTAAACGAGGCCTAGATAAAGTGAGAAATCATGAGGGGGTGTGACTTTTTATCCCAACCTTTTTTAATAGATGAATTGCCCGATTTTTGTTTCCAGGGTTATGATGTGGAGAATGTCCTGGGAAAAGAGGTGGGTCCCATCACTGTGTACACCCGAGTCGTCACCAGGAAGCCTGCCCTCTGGATGGGCCTGGAAGAGATATGCCTGTGAGGCCTCAGCTGGCTCCACAGGTCTGCCAACTAGGCCTTGGTGTGAGCCAGTTTATCCTCCTCTCCTCGTTCGAAGGCCCCCCTGACAGCTTGAAACTGCACTGAAGAAGACAAGGTCCTGTTTATGTTAATGATATACGATCCTGTCCAGCAGGAGTCGACAGCCCAAGGGTCGACCATCAGCATGCAGCCTGTTAAGTCAACCCACGTGGTTCATTATCTGGGATATGGCTCTCAGAGCAAGACTTTTCACTCCTTTTTCACCTATTTACCTCTGTATTTAAGATAACTGGTGCTGTGTAAATAAATGGTTTAAGTTTTGCTGACTCTGCATTCCATTTCCTGTTGCACTTCTGGTGTGAAGCCGTTCCCTCCACACAAATCATGATATGCAAAGACTACTCACAGGCAGACAGTTTTTGCACTTTTTCAGTGACTTTATTATAGATTCCATAAACAAAATGTTTAAGGTTTCATACAAACTATATAAAAGATCATGCTCTGGCTCTTATACAAAGTTCGGAATTATAAAACATGTACCATGTCCGGTATAACATCATGTAAATGCAGTGGTAAAATAATTTAATACAGAGAAAAAAAATCCCACAAAAAATATGGCAGCAACGTATTTTCCAGTGCCATTATGGTAAGCTTAAAAATACATCTGGTACAGATGGTAAAACAAGTGTCTGTTGAGGTATGTCTCCTAATTGCTCAGTTCATAGAAGATGGGGATCTGTCACCGGCTCCCTGCGCTCGCGGAGCCCGCGAAGGTGGAGTTGGGCATTTGCTTGAAGAAATCTCTGAGGCCGGTGAGCTCTCTGGTCAGCTGCTCGATGGTTTTGTGAAGCTTGTCGTTCTCGTTGCTCAGCTCGATCATCTTCTGCTGCATCTCCATGTTGCGCCTCTTGGCTTTGTCCCTGCTCTTCCTCACGGCGATGTTATTCCTCTCCCGCCTCTGCCGGTACTCCACGCTGAACCTGTCCACGGACTTCTTGCCCTTCTCGCGGCCGATCTTGCGCGGGGAGGACCGGGCCGAGCCGGCGGCCGACGGGGGCTCCGGGGTGGTCGGGGGGGTGGGCTGCCCCGTGGGGAGGCTGACGGAGGTCTGGGCGCAGGTCTCGATCTGGGAGGGGAGGGACGACGACGCGTCGCTGTCGCTCCAGTCCGGCTCCTGCTTGATGGGGGCGCTGAACGCCCCCTTGTCCAGCGCGATGTCCAGCTTCCTCTCCGCGGCGTACAGCTGCTGGAGCTGGACCTGCTGCTGCTGCTGGACCTGCTGCATGCCGCCGGCCAGCGCCGAGTTCTGCAGGCTGAAGAAGTCCCCCTTCTCCTGCTTCACCGTGTTGAACAGGTCGAGGAAGAGCTCGTCGTTGCACAGCTCCAGGTTGGGCACGGACGTCATGGACTCGATGTACTGGCTGAAGTCGATGGCGCTCTCGTCGTCGTACATGGCCGGAGCGGAGCTCAGCTCCAGCACGGTGGGGCCGCCGTCCTCCCCTCCCCCGGGGGGGGCACCCGGCTTGCAGCCCCCCTGCTGCGGCTGCTGTGGCTGCGGCTGCTGCTGCCCGCCGCCCAGCTTGTTGCTCTCATAGAAGTTTGCAGGCTCCATCGCCCAACTCATGTTGCATTGTGGGGACACGCAGTGAGAGTCCAGGCTGTATATGTCACACATGAGCCCTGATTATTCGTCCACGTGGTTTAAGATTGAAAAAGAAAACAACAACAAAACTGGCAGAAAAAAGTAAACCCCAGTCTGTGACAGTCTGTTCCGAGGTACCCGGGCAGTATTTACTCCCGCGCAGGCGCTTTTTTTTTTTTTTTCTTTCTTTTTCTCCAACCCCACAGCTTTCTTTGGAAAAACGCGCAGCTCTGGTTCTTTTCCCCCCCTCTGGCTTCGGGCTGTCAGGGTTCTGTCACCGATGACACCAAAGAATTATCACTTCTCTGAAGCGGCGCTAGGTTCGCGCAGAGCTTTGTATCGTTCCCCCGCGCCTGCGTCACGCACGCCGCCCTCTCACGAGCCAGTCATGTCCAAAAGCGGGTCACGTGGTGTCACCTAACTTCACATCTGAGAGAGGGAGAGGGCGTGCCGCTCCTGACACCCACTTTTCTTTTTTCTTTTTTTTTTTTTTTTTACTATGATTCTATGAATGGTTCGGAGTTGTTTACATACTGCAGCCCGTGTTCTGGCGCTTTGTGATCAGAGTTAATTTACCCACGAGAACACAGACATCTGACTCAGTCAGTAGTTTATTCGGCTTATAAAAATTAGAAGATATAAACGCGAAGAAAAGTTTCACATGGAGATGGACCATTTATTTCAGAGCTCCGAAACATAGAACTTATCCACCCATAGATGTAAAAAGCTGATATTGGTGTCATTTTATATAAGAATTCATCTAAGTTGTACATAATTTATCACTTATAAAACTACTGTTGTATGTCAAGGTTTATATACTTACAAAATATACTTTAAATGGGTTTGTTTCAAATACCCAGACATTTATAAACTAAAATAAAACTACTGAAAAGTGGCAGGCTGATAAATTTGGAGAGGCAGTTTTAAGTGGTTTCAAATTGGAATGCTCATATTTTTAGACTGATACTACGTTTCGATACGCAGACACACAAGTATAATCAAACTGATGCGTATATATGAAAATAGGATTTCAGGTTTTAGTACGGTGCGTTTGGGGCCATTACGGAAAAAGCGGTGGACATTAAAGAGAGACACGGCATGTGTCTGGTGATCTTTTATTACCGGTGGTGTCTTTCTGACGCTTCTTTAAATCACACATGGACTGACACTTCTCGGAAACGTTTCCCATGTTTTCCACCAAGGAAGTCTGGAGTACTTTTCCTCTCGCGTGTTCTCCTCCAATTTGGAAATTGCTCCACATTGTGGTCAAAGTATATGGCTACATTTTTTATTCTGCGCGTACTTTATTCATTTAAATATATACTTTTTGAGACCTATGCCCATCTACGGTACAATAACAAATATTAAACAGTTACTTTGACTTTTCATCGGTCGTGTTTATTCTAACAGTAAACTAGTTTATTGTATTCATTCCAAGATAAGTAAAGACATTTTTAAGTTTTACCGTAATAATAAACGTGTGGGGAATTTCGCGACCAATGTCCAAATATAATATAATTTACTAATTTTGGGTAGTAAATCCGCAATGAAAGCCAACCATTTGCATAATGAAAGAATCATAATAAAAGTGAAATATGAAAACAGAAATTAATTAATTGGTTTGACTGATACTTCTATGATAAACGTTATTCCTTAATCTTAATAATAGTTCGGTTTAAAATATTCTCTGGTTTAACAGTTTTATGTTTGTTAAATTCAGCATGTTTGGAATTTTTATGACAACATGTTATATGTTATGAATATTAAATCTCCTTGGGGCTTTCTTTCGGACCGAACCAAATCTGCTTGGGGTAAAATGGCGTGCAAAGCCTTGTGTAGGAAATACATCCCATTTTCAAAATAGCAGAAATTATACAGATTAATATTTAATAATATAACTAAATCGACATTCTCGTTGTAAAATGTTTAATTATTTAAAGAAATTAGAGATACAAGCGTAAAAAGGAATCGGAAATACCCTCCTAAATAACGCCGTCGACCGGAAGATGAAGGGCGATCCTGCCTTTTCATTGGCCGAAACTTCCCCGCGAAAATAGCGTCACCGTCCTTTTCGCGCCAGTTTTGCAGCACTTGGACGTAGACAGAAGAAAGGGTGAGTGGACTGACTTTGCGAAGTTTTCCGTTATTAAAAACAGTTTGGTATTGTGGTGGACATTGTTAGATGATGTTACATTAATGCAAACAAAGGGGTTCTGTCGAAAATCAGCTCATTGTAAACTGATGACTTATTTCAGGTCTGAAAAGCAAGTGATGTCGTATTGTCCGCTGGCAGCCACATGCCCAATGGATGGGGCTGTTGTTAAAAACCGCTCAGTTTTCTTTTGATCGGAAACTGCATTAAAAACGACTTGAGTTACGCATCATGAAATCTAATCACGTTCATTGTTAAAGTGGTTAAAATAACGATTGATGTTGAGTTATTTCGGCATTTTAAACAGTGTTTTGTGATTCACAGCAGATCAAGTGATGTAGGAAGTTTATTTTCAGGCCTTTAGCTACTTTAGTATTCATAGATAAAAAATGAAATGGCAAACTATAAAGACCAATCCAACAGGAAAGCATAATATTTGTGAATCTAAAATCATACCTGTAAATGCTGACACTTTTGTTATTTCCACCTGTGTGCAAAGTCTTTTAAAGGTGATAATACTTTTGCATACCTTTTTTATTGACAGATATCCCAACAGCAATGTCTTCTCCCAGTTCGACTCCCGGTGGCCGCAAACGTGGAAGGAACACCAACCCTCCCACACGTGGGTGTTTATTTTTATGAAAGTCCTGTTGATTGCATGCTGTGGGTGTGTGGATCCGGCACATGGACCGATTTAAAACTTTTTTTTTCTTCAATGACCCGTGTACCCACAGCGAGGAGTGAGGACCCCACCTCTCCTCCGTCTCAGCGGCGCAGGGGGCTGGACTCCTCCACGGGGGAGCTGATGCCCATGCCGACCTCTCCGGCCACGGACATGCTCAGCCCTGCTGCCCCGCAGGACACCTCTCTGTTCTCCAGCCCGCGGCCCTCAGGTACTGCAGCGTCCGAGGCACGCCGGCGTTTTAGAGGGGGGGGTGGGGGGCGTCGGACGCTCTGATCGTCTTTCTGCTGCGACTCTTCCAGTGCCGCCGAACGAAGTGGACATGAGTTCTCCGCTCATGTACGGGACCCCCAGCTCCAGGGTTGAAGGGACCCCGCGCAGCGGCGTGCGCGGGACGCCGGCCAGACAGCGCCCCGATCTGGGCTCGGTCAGGAAGGCTCCCCAGGTGGACCTCCACTCTGAGCCGGTCAGTAGGGACGTCGGGCCGCACTGCGCCGCTGTTTGTTGTCCTGTGCGATGAAGCCTAAGTCCAGGGTAGTCAACCGTTTGCCGTCCTATCCCAGCCCAGCACGGACGGCGCCGTGGCCAGCGAGCCCAACGCCGGCCAGAGACTGGTCATCTGGGGGACTGACGTCAATGTGGGGACCTGCAAGGAGAAGTTCCAGGTACACACTTGGCTCACAAAGTTGGTTGTCTTTGACGTCTCCGTATTTGGGAGGAGTTAACTTTATTTTTTTCCTCCTGCCAACGTTGTTCCAGAGGTTCCTGCAGAGGTTTATAGATCCCACATCCACGGAGGACGAGAACGCCGGGTTGGACCTGAACGAGCCTTTGTACATGCAGAAGCTGGAAGAGGTGGCGTGCTTGTTTGTTTATTGTGTTGTGGCCTGTAGGTCAGGCCTTCCGCGCAGGTCCAGGTTAGACTGTGACTAGGGATGTCCCGATCCAGCTTTTTGCACCTCCAATCCGATAACGATATTGTATTTGCACTTCCGAACCGATACCGGCCGACACCGGTTTAAAGTTAAAGTTATTTAGCCTACTTGTCAGACTCATGTTGAAAATGGGTTTTAGTTTAGTTAGTTTGAATAATACACAGTTGTTGGTAAAGAGACACTGACCTGTTTATTCAGGGATAAACACAAAATAAACAAAATTATAAATAGCAAACAGAAATGGCATAAGTGAACGGTAAAAAGTGCAAATAATATTGTAAACTGTATTTAAAAGGCAAAACACACAACCTGAATGGAAAATAGTCTATTAACTCTGGATTGGCCATTTCTCCTGCCGGCCTCTACGCATTTTTTTGCAAATATCGGCCGATCCGATCCAAATATCGGATCGGGACAAGCCTAACTGTGACCGCTCATGGTGTATGCTTTAGGATTTTGAATAATTTTCTTTGTCTTTTTATTTCTTGCTCTGTGTGATTTTTAAATGAGCTTGTTTTTTCTTGCCGTCTCTCAGATCAGCGTTGTCGGGGACCCTGTGCTGAACGTGAACTGTCGCCATGTGCAGGCCTTTGACATGGAGCTGTACAGGCAGCTCATCTGCTACCCACAGGTAACATCCAGCTCTTTAGAGAAGGTTCCCAAACTGTGGGATTATGTTTGATGAAAAACGTTTATTTTTTTTAATAGATTTGTCCACACTTCCCTCTAATAGCATTTATACAACCACCACCTTATCCATCCCCCTTTCAAAGGAATATGTAAAACTATGTCAAACTAAATTCCTTACATGCACGGATCAGTTTGGGGTGATGCAGATTAGTCTATTTTTATCTACAGGATATGCGCTAAAGGCACCTACATTGTCCATTTTTTTAGTTTCTCTTCTATGTAGTTTTGCAGTTGAATGATTCTCAGTAATGAGTTTCCTCATTCCTTTTGCAGGAAGTCATCCCAACCTTTGACATGGCCGTCAATGAGCTTTTCTTTGAGCGTTTCCCAGACTCCATCCTCGAGTACCAGATCCAAGTCCGCCCCTACAATGCCCTGAAAACCAGAAACATGAGGAGTCTGAACCCAGAAGGTGCGTTTGTTAGTTGGGTTTTTGGCCGTGGAACCTGACGAAAGACGCATTTTTAAAAAGAAAAAAAAATCAACAAAAATAAATTCCACCGCATATTTCATGTGGGCTAATCTGTGAAAGCCTATTTGTCAGCTCCGGGCTCAAGCTTCTGTGCACCTTCTGCGTTTTCTTCCCCCCCCCCCTCCTCCCGGCAGACATCGATCAGCTGATCACCATCAGCGGCATGGTGATCCGCACCTCGCAGCTCATCCCCGAGATGCAGGAGGCCTTCTTCCAGTGCCAGGTGTGCGCCTTCAGCGCCCGTGTGGAGGTGGACCGCGGGCGCATCGCCGAGCCGGCCGTGTGTCGCCACTGCAACACCACCCACAGCCTGGCGCTGGTGCACAACCGCTCGGTCTTCTCAGACAAGCAGATGGTGGGTTTGGGGGGTAGGGAGAGGGGGGTTTCGTTCGTTAGGGGCAGATTGCTCGTCGTCACCGGCGCCTGAGCTCAGAATGTGTCAGGTGGCACTAAAGGGACGCGCGGGGGCCGCCGAGGTCACGGCATCTGCTCACCCGCGGATCTCTATCCATGCGGCAGATCAAACTCCAGGAGTCCCCCGAGGACATGCCGGCCGGCCAGACGCCTCACACCACCATCGTGTACGCGCACAACGATCTGGTGGACAAGGTGCAGCCCGGGGACAGGGTCAACGTCACCGGTAAGGCCTCCAGCCGCACCCCACCCCCCCCCCGGCCAGGAGCTGTCACCGGGTCGGGTTGGGTTGTAGCCCCTTTTAGTTAGTTCTGTTAAGCACGTGCAAAGTGTCCTGTTTGAACGAAAAAGATGAAAAAATTCGCAGGTCCATCTGGTCATGGGCAGCCCGGCCCATGGTGGAGTTGGGAACGTGTTTACGTTTCTATTTAGTTGTTTTTTTGTTTATTTTTTCTCAATTTTTTTAACCAAAATAAAAGCTTTTTTTTTTTAAGTACAGCTACACTCAATACAAGTTTTATGCCTGTCTTTCAGCCCAATAAACACATGTTAAAACACCTATCAGCACTCTGTTGGGTAAAAATAACCCCCAGTTTTATTAAAGTTAAACTGGGGTTTTACTTTAGTCTGTTGCAGAGGGCCAGGAAGCAGAATAGCAGCTAACCCGACGGCCTCTCTGCCTCCATAGTTCTGATGTTATCGGTGAATGTACCTCTCAGGTCATTTCCGTTTAAATTTTTCGAGTTGAACCTGGCCGTCTTGAACTCGGTGTCATTCTAACACGTTGCATACAAACAGCCAGATCCCGTATGATGGGAGGGATCTGACATCCCTGTAACAATCCACACACACCCGGGCTGGAAGCTGAACATGTATTCCAGCAGCTCCTGTCTAGGTTGATACACTTTATGCTGGTTAGGAATTTTTGTGGCAGAATGCACAAAAAAACAAACAAGTTTTCTACCTCCTGATTTCTGCAGTACATTTAAATCCTCACAAGAGGGTTAGGTATGCTTCTGTTAACTTTGCATGTTAATAACTGGGGCTTTATTGGTATTTTTGTTATTATTTTTGTTATTATTAGTATTGGTATTTTGTTGTTATTATTATTGGTATTTTTGTTATTATTTTTGTTATTATTATTATTGGTATTTTGTTAATATTATTATTGGTATTATTATTATTATGACCCCTCTATTGGTAATAAGGGGGTCATAACTCGGGTTGTTTTTACAGGCCTGTCTGAAAGGTTCTGTGCACAGCGTCACAAAGACCAATTGGGGTGTTTTGTTTCCGCGCAGGCATCTACAGGGCGGTGCCCATGCGCGTCAACCCGCGGCAGAGCAACGTGAGGTCGGTCTACAAGACGCACATAGACGCCATCCACTTCCGCAAGACGGACGAGAAGCGCCTGCACGGCATGGACGAGGACGCCGAGCAGAAGCTCTTCACCGAGGAGCGCGTGCAGACGCTGAAGGAGCTGGCCGCCAAGCCCGACGTCTACGAGCGGCTCTCCTCCGCCCTGGCGCCCAGCATCTACGAGCACGAGGACATCAAGAAGGTGGGGGGCCACAGCCGGATGAGCGGGCGTGGCCAGATGGCGGCGGCCTGCCTCCCAGATGTCTTAAGAAGGGCGTGCGCTGTGCGATTTTTCGCCCCTTTTCGACATGATTTTTCACTCGTGTGACAATTTCTTGGATGGGTTCAGCTCACTCGTGTGTCTCACATGGTGTAGTATACGCAGGGTAACGAGGTGCGATTAACCGGTCACGACTGCCTTCCGATCGACAATTGTATGGTCGGATGAAAATCAAAGAGGTTTGAATTTCTGGTCGGCCCTCGTGAGGGAATCGTGTTATTGAACCAATGTTTGTTTTTTTTGTTTTTTCCGAAATTCAACTTTTTTTAATGATCGAACTTTAAAAAAGGTCCACGTCGTATGTTACATTGTCTTATTGTACATAGTTTCCCTATACGCCACCTTGACAGCTCCAACAGAAAATATGGTCCAGAAAATAGCAGTAGTAATAAGTGGAAATAGAAATGCAAATTCCAGTTATGTAAAATAATTCTTAAGGTTGTGATGTGGCAGAGTTTTACCAGAGTGAATGTTTTGATATGCTTGGTACCACTGACTGGTCCACAAGTAAGCAAAGTCTGGGATCAGCAGGCAGTGAGAAATGAGAAACCCAGCCATTCTTCTAATATTCCAAGGATTTTGCACCGAAATGGGTGAAGATAAGAACACTCCCAGAGCACATGGAGATATGTACCATCTATTGAAGCAACGTTAGGATCGTCTACGACCCGACTGCCCAAATTCTCTGGCCCTCCGCCTCTGAAGTGACACTGAGTGGTCGGGGGTATCATGAAGTTATGTGAAAGTTGTTGCTGCCTCCCTCTGGTTCACGCTGTAAAACTGACAGGCCATATTTGCCTCGTCTGCACGGCCATTTTTTGGTCCAAACACGCCGCCTTCTTCTGTTCTTTTTAAAGTTTTCGGTACACGTGCAATCGCGCAAATTGCCACGGCAGCGCTTTTTAGCTTTGGTGACCCTCGTATTCGACTTCGTCTTCTATTTCAAGTCCGTCGTACGGCGTGAGCGGTCGGATCGCGTAAGAGGATCGGCTCGTATAGCGTGAGAACATAAATCGTGAGCGGCGACCTTCTAACCCCGACCATTGGGTCGTGCGGTTTGAGCCGGAGCTACGTTGATTGAAAAATACCGCCCAGTGTACGCGCCGGCTTAACTGTGGTCCCCCCCCCTCCTCCTCTCAGGGCATCCTGCTGCAGCTGTTCGGCGGCACCCGTAAGGACTTCAGCCAGACGGGCCGGGGCCACTTCCGCGCCGAGGTCAACATCCTGCTGTGCGGGGACCCCGGCACCAGCAAGTCCCAGCTGCTGCAGTACGTCTTCCACCTGGTGCCGCGCGGCCAGTACACCTCGGGCAAGGGCTCCAGCGCCGTGGGCCTCACCGCCTACGTGATGAAGGACCCGGAGAGCCGGCAGCTGGTGCTGCAGACGGGCGCGCTGGTGCTCAGCGACAACGGCATCTGCTGCATCGACGAGTTCGACAAGATGAGCGACAGCACGCGCTCGGTGCTGCACGAGGTCATGGAGCAGCAGACCCTCTCCATCGCCAAGGTTCGGGTTTTTTAAACGAGCGGAGGCGCGAGCACGGGGGGGGGCTCGCCGACCGTCAGGGGGAAGTTTAATTGTTTGTTTTTTCGTTGTCCGTGCGCAGGCCGGGATCATTTGCCAGCTGAACGCCCGCACCGCCGTGCTGGCCGCCGCCAACCCCGTGGAGTCCCAGTGGAACCCCAAAAAGACCACCATCGAAAACATCCAGCTGCCTCACACTCTGCTGTCCAGGTGAGCGAGATTCCCCGCGCACAAGTGGTCGTCATGAACGTAGACGGGAATTTCTCGTTTTTTATTTATCCTCCGTCAGAGAGAGGCTGGAGCACTGGGCAGCCCGAGTAGATTAAAGAATAAAATGACTGTTTTGGCCAATTAAAAATGAATTAGCGATGAGGGGAAAACAAACTGTACATTAATAAAGTGTTCCTCTCTTCCCATTCCTCTTCTGTGGGTGCGTGCTGCCGCATGGGAAAAACACAATCAGAAATACATTCACAGAAATACATTTTACCTTTTCCAATTTATTAAAAAAAAAAAAAATTGTATATGTACCTGGTCATGCCTCCTCTTCTAACCCCGTCCGTCCCCCCCCCCATCAGGTTCGACCTGATCTTCCTGATGCTGGACCCGCAGGACGAGGCCTATGACCGCAGGCTGGCCCACCACCTGGTGTCCCTCTACTACCAGAGCGAGGAGCAGATGGAGGAGGAGTTCCTGGACATGGCCGTGCTGAAGGACTACATCGCCTACGCCCGGACCTACATCAACCCGCGGCTGAGCGAGGAGGCCAGCCAGGCCCTCATCGAGGTCTGCGCCCCGTCGGAGAAGCGGGGGTCGGCGTTGTCCCCCCGCTCTGTCTGACCGGGGGGGGCGCCGCTGACCCCGCTGCTGCTGTCGTGGTCTTCCTCAGGCGTACGTGGACATGAGGAAGATCGGCAGCGGCCACGGGATGGTGTCCGCCTACCCGAGGCAGCTGGAGTCGCTCATCCGCCTGGCCGAGGCGCACGCCAAGGTGCGCTTCTCGGAGAGGGTGGAGACCATCGACGTGGAGGAGGCCAAGCGTCTGCACAGAGAGGCCCTCAAACAGTCGGCCACCGACCCCAGGACAGGATTCGTTGACATCTCTATTCTGACCACAGGTACGAGCCGTGGCCCAAGCCCCGCTTCTCCTTTAACATTAAAGCATGAAACGACAAAAAGCCGCGCTTCAAACGAAGCCTGGCAGGATTTGGTAAAGTCAGCGCTCGTTAAGACTGTTTTGGCAGCTTTTGAGCTTTTAGAACCAGGTTTTCCTCTATGGCTTTCACCAGGATGGGGAAAAGGAGCCACGTGCCGGGTTTCTAGGATGTTCTGATGTTTTGAAACTGGAACTGCGAAGTCAAACAGACGCAGAAAGCAAACTAACTTAAGATGATTACTAGTCACAGGGGGGCTCTTTGCTCTTATTCCAGGTATGAGTGCCACGGCCCGGAAACGCAAGGAGGAAGTGGCCCAGGCACTGAAGAAGCTGATCCAGGCCAAAGGAAAGACGCCAGCCATGAAATACCAGCAGCTGCTGGATGACCTCAGAGGACAGTCTGAAACTGTGAGCTTCCAAATATCTATCAGCAAGTCCGGAAATAAAATAAGACAGACAAAACATTATCACGTACTGAGTTAAAGAAACATGTAGAATGTTCAATGCATGTTGCTGGCAAAACCAATTTTTCTTGAGAATATTTTTTCTGACTTCCTGTTTGCAGGCAATCACCAAGGAGCTGTTTGATGAGGCGCTGCGAGCGCTGGCTGATGAGGACTACTTGACAGTTACTGGAAAAACTGTCCGTCTGCTTGCTTGAGGCACACCCTATGATTATGTATAGTCATTCATTCTTAATTCTGCGTCCATCTCCTTTTCCCCAGACTGTAAAGCGCGTTTGTATAATTAAACCATGCATCCTAGACATATTATTCTCAAAGGGATTTGGACATGAATCAGGATTACCCGATGACTCAGAGTACCTGGACTGGTGGTTTAAAAGAAAAGGGCTTGGTAAACTGGCGTACAGTGAAAATTCATGGTTAATATTTAACAATGCATTCCTCCGTTTCTTTCGTTTGACCAATTTTGATGCGACTTTGTTGCTTTTTTGTGCTATTCTGGTGTATGTTGTAGTTTGTTCTACACTCACAAGTCCTGATTTTTGCAGCAGGTATGTAGTAGCTGTATATTGTTTGGGAAAAAAATAAAAGTTAAATGCAAATGCTTGGAATTCTTTGTTTCTGGGCCATGGTCCATAAAATCCCTGTAACAGTAATAAACGGCACAGAACCTTGTATCGTTTGTTGCTGTTCTCTGGGTGAATTATTAAGACTTATTTTAATAAACAGGGGCTTTTGGGTGGTTTCTTTGCTTTGAATGACGGTTTCTGTATTCGTAAAGCAAAATTCCTCTTTTAAAAGTGTTACAGCATACACAAAGGAAGTCGTCTATTTCTTCAAGACTGTTTTATTTGTACATTTGCCTGTTCTGATTTACAGCCCAGGCTTTAAACTACTAAGAAACAATCCACATGTGAATTATGAACCTATAAAACAGGAGGTTGAAATATAAAAATAAAACGTTTCCTGCTAACATCCAGTTGGTTGTTTTTAGGTGGTGATCGGTGGGGATTTTTTTTAGAACTTTTAGCACGTTTTTTGTTCTGTTGAACTTCAGACATGATTCAAACTTAGCTGGTTGAGAGTCTGGTCGTTTTGTTTAGGTGAGCAGAGGTGGGGGCAGCTTGCAGTGCCCCGGTCGGCCGGCGTGATGCTGCTGCTCGCTCGGTCTTAACCGCCGTGATGTCACAGCTCTCTGTGCTTCTGGACTCGGCTGAAGAAGATGGCGGCCTCCTCAGGTTCGTGTGCTTTCAGACTAATATCTACAGAGACCCCAAAATGCGACAGGCGCCCGGGCTCTGGGGTTTTTATCGCTCGGCAATCGCCGAGATTGACTAACCTGCGACGACTGCGAAGTTGCTCTCACCTGCAAATTTCCCGGAACTGTAACCTCATGGTGGAACACTGATCTTGACGGGAGCCATCTATGTCCTGGAGCTAACCTAGCATAATCGAGGCCAGTCAATAGCTTGCCCCGTGAGTTAGCTCAAACTGCACTGGGTGCCTGAAACAAGCGTCAGTGTGACTTGCTTTTATCTGGCGTTATTAAAGTAGAATATTTTTAGTTAATATAGTTCATTATAACTGCTTAATAGTCGGCGCTAAATCCCATTAATATGGGCTGTAAACAACCGTAGACGACACTGGCAAGCATAGCTAACTTAGCCACTAGAATATTCCAGCACCGCGAGGCGGTGAATGTCGAATTCGTTGTGTCCGGCTAGCAGGACACTTTATCCGTCAAACTCGCGGTGAGGACAGTTAAAACACTTTTTACTATGCATTTTATCGGCATTAAACAAGAAATGATTAACATTTAGAAGCAACACGTACAAACCCCAATAACTACCTTGTGACACCCCAGACCGCAATAAACAACGTTGACGGAAATGCTTTTTAATCATTGAACCGATGCGTTCATTAGCCGCACTCTGCTTGCTTGCCTCACCAATAAATGTTTTAACAAGATCTGAATACTTTAACCGCCACCGCCATGTCTTTTCACGAGGCAGATGTTTGCCATTGTTGGGTGGGGAGTGTAGGCTCGCTCTGGGCTGCTGAAGTGTTGCAGCTACTGCAGATGGCACGCTTTGTTTCAGTAAATAGTCTGAGCCCGCATCTGCTGTAACGCTCAACAGGAAGCGTGCTTTGCAAAAATGAATGGTTAAAAGTATGGTCATTGCGTTTTTATGAGGCTGAGCTTAAACAGTTGGACATTTTTCATTAATTTTGAGTTAAAACGCACACTCCGGTGTTCATACCACAAAGTGTTAAAACTAGGAAGTAACTTCTTAATCGAAACTACTTCATCATACTTGAAGTTGGCGCGACCTGTCGGGGCAGTTTTAAGCGTTTTAGTTCCTACAGAGTAGTTTCGTTGATGTGATCAAGGTGGGGTCGTTGGAGAATTCCTTTAGAATATTACATTTACAACCTTTTCCCCCCTCAGATTAAATGTAGCTGTAAATTAAATGGATCCAAGCACAGCCTCCTTTTAGTTTACCAGTTTATTAAGAGTAATGCTTTTCCATTTTACTGTTAAATTATTACATTAGAATAACATGGTGGCATTTAATATATCTATTGTTTTAGAGAAGGGGGGGGACAGAGGGATTTGGATACATTTATTGGAATTCATATAAACATTTGGTGATGTGCTGTGTTTGATAAATTCAGCAGAATCCAGTTAGCTGGTTTATAGCGAGCAGGAGTGATTTTGAGTTTCAGCTCTGACACCTGAAGCCTTTCTGTACTGCAGTTTCTTGTTACTTGGCAGCCAGAATTTGCTGAGACCACTATATCTGAAGTGAGCTAACCCTTAAAACTGGCCACCGTACAAATGTTCGGATGTTGGCAAAGGACAGAGACGTCCTCAGCTATTTCTCGCGTGCAAATTCCTCTCAAGAATCCGGTTATACTTAATCAATTTTTTGTTTTGTTTTCTATAACCGAGCAGGTGTAAAGAAATAATTTATTTTCGAGTCATTTTTAAGCCTGTCTGTGATGACTAAAAGGTGGAGAAATAAATTATTTATCAAGATAAGGATTCTTTTTCACCAAGTTTCCTGCTTCAGTCACATGGCCTTTAAAAAGATATATATATATTTTACAAAATTGTGTTTGGGTTCACATTTATTCATAGTAAGCTTATATATTATAGCTTTTCTGACAACTTCTTCTATCCCTTGGTCACAATCTTAAAGTAGTTTGCAATGTTTTTGGGGTTGGGTGCCTGTAAGGCCATGCTTTTAATTCTGCTGTCAGCAGTCTTCTGATTTGGCCTTTTTGGTATCCAAACAGCTGAATAGTTTTGAATGACGCTGTTATGAAATGGCCTGTCATGACAGGTCATAAGATGACTGGGTGTTACCCCGAATAGTCAGTTTAAAATCAGCGCTATCTTCCTGCGTGCTTGAAATCTCATGACGGTTTCCAAACGGATGTCGGGTGCAGATTTAGTTAGGCGTTATTGTTGAGCAGCGTCAGATTTTTTAGGTGAGCGTCTTGTGAATGAGCAGTCAGATTAGCCGGTCCCACGGTTGGAAGACGCGGCGTGCGTTGGGCGTGTGCTGCAGCCCGTCGTGCTGCTTCTTGCACCAGTCCTGTCTTCACATGTTTGGAGCGTCTGTATGACTCATGAAACAAATGTGCCTGCATCAGTTTACAAAGCACTGCAATGAGCATTTTTGAAAAATGGAAAAGTGGTTGACACATTGATTACCCTGTAGCTTTGTTTGTGTCAGGGGAATCTTACAGATCTTATGCTTTTTGAGATTTCAGAAATGTACTGAGTAGAATTGTTGCGGCTGCATTCAATTCACAATTACTTATTTTGTTAAGAAAAAGTTCCAAAGTTTCTTCTCTTTCTTGCCAGTCACAACGAGAGTAATATAGACTCTTCTGCTTTCAGCATTGCTGTCAACATCATATCTAGAAAATGGCCCCTCCCTTCTCCAGCTACCTGCCTAGTACTGTGAGGCCCACATTGTGACACACCCTTCACACTCATTTGGCATGAGTCCTGTGGGCTATCTCCTTATGCGGTCTCATTATGTGACATCAGACATTTCTGTTTGTGAAAGTAAATAGTTCATATGTTAAGCAGTGCATTTTTTAGCAAATGGATTTTGCGTCAGATTTGATGCTGTCTAATAATAGAACCTCTTTTTGAAACGTCAGGCCTTGCTCACGCTAGACTGCTTGTCAGAAGGCTTAACTTGCTGTCCTGTAAATGTTTATTTTTGAATATATTTTTGTTTTGTTTGCTGCAGGAGTTAAAGTTCCACGCAATTTTCGTTTGTTGGAAGAACTTGAAGAGGGCCAGAAGGGCGAAGGCGATGGCACAGTTAGCTGGGGCCTCGAGGACGATGAAGATATGACTCTAACACGATGGACAGGCATGATCATTGGACCAGCAAGAGTAAGTGCAGTCAGCACTGGGTTTGTCTTTAGAAGGCAGACAGAAAATACCATCTGCTTGTGACACATTCTATTGCTTTTCAGACCAACTACGAGAACAGGATATACAGCCTGAAGGTGGAATGTGGACCTAGATACCCAGAGACAGCGCCGACTGTTAGATTTGTTACAAAAATTAGCATGAATGGGATAAATAATTCCAACGGGACGGTAAGTGATCATGAATATCCATTCAGACAATTTTGTAACTAATATTCACATCAGCTTTTTTGTCATAATTGTTTGATTTTTCATTATTTTCCCTGTTCTGTTTCTCAGGTGGATTCACGTAGCATACCAATATTAGCAAAATGGCAGAATTCTTATAGCATTAAAATTGTTCTTCAAGAGTTAAGGCGTCTAATGATGTCCAAAGAAAATATGAAGCTTCCACAACCACCAGAAGGACAAACCTACACCACTTAATCGTGATGGATTGTTTCGACCCTCTGTCTTAAACCTTACTCTCTTAGAAATATTGTGTAAAACCATCAAGAGGCTCACTTCGCACATCGACAATATCGTCTACAAGAGCAAGATTGGACTTTCTTATTACATAGCTCATTTAAATGAAAAATGTCCCTGCAGTTACGCACTGAATAGCTAGTTCTGACTACAAGACCACAGTTATCTGCCTTTTAATAAAGTTAGTTTGACAATGAATTTTATGTTCGACCTGTTCCAGCTTGAGTAGGCTTAAAGAGGGAAGCATGATGCCACACAGGTTGTCCCGATAGTCCTATGTTCCAATCAATGATCACTGAGGTTAACAGCAAGATGGGTGTCTGGAGGCATGTTCTGTAATTAATACCTAGTCAAAGAGAAGCCACATGTTTTTGGGTTGTTTTTTCTTTCTTTTTTTTTTTTTTCAAGTTAGTAAAGATTAGCAGGTTCATTGAAATATCATGCAGATTGCTGAATGATAAACTGTGGCTGTAGTCTAAAAGTAGTGTCACAAGGTAAAGATTTTTTTTAATAAATATATATATATCTGTATTTGACACGATACCAATATGTTTCTGTTCTGCAGCTCTTTGACATGTAACAGACGTTGAAGCCTGTTCTGTACTGAAACCCTTACATATAACTTCTAGTGAAAATGGCAGGTGTATGAACTTGTGATTTTCTGAAATTAAAATCACTGTCTGCGAAAAAAAAGAAAAGGAAACCAAATCTGGAAGTTGAAATTTGTGACTACCTTTCTCATAACACTTAACATTTTTTTCCACTAGAGGGCATTACATCACTTTGTATGATTCACCAGTTTACTTTGTGCCATATCTATCAAACAGACTTGCTTTCTACTAATTCTTTTTGTAGTCTGTAAATGTAGGTGTCAGATATTCTCTTTGGCAGCGATAAGCCAGAATCCTCCCTCTGAGGTGACCTTTTTAGCTTCTCAGCTCTTTGATTATGCAGTGTTTAATTAACCAAATGGGCATTTAAAGAGGCATCACTGCAGATGGTTAAGGTCATTTATCTGTTAATGTAGCTTTAAAAAAAATATAACAACATATTTAAAATTGGAGTAAGAACATTTTTGCCCCAGAGATGTCCTGTGTGGGTATCCCATTAAACTGAAAGGGCCAAAGTATCCAATAATCCTCAGGCAGTGGGATCAGTTTGGTAAGGAAAGCTTAATATTTCATTATCTGTTCACGAAATGATCCGTCAGTCATACATTAAATGATACGTTATGACCATTATTTTGGATTGTGAAGCTTTGTCTTTGTAACCCCTAGATGAATCCAAAGCTGCGTGCCTGTGCCTGACTGCTGAAAAGGATCTTTTTGTCCGACTCGTGTGACTTTCTGACTGTGCGTGTGCCAAATTACTGGCAGGTGCTCTGCCTGGATGATTTAAAAAAGGCCTATTTTTGTCATTCTCCCCTACTGGCGTCACATTGTAGGCAATCGCACATTAGCTGACTAGTGAAAAACGTACAGTGGAACCTCATAGGCATACGTTTTTTGTAGGATGTTTCACATACATTAAATTGAATTGAATAATTATTTTTTCTGTAATGCACTTCCTGTCTTCGAAACAATTCGCAGGAAGTAAACTTCTGGATTTAAATTTCCTTCCTGTTGTTTCTCAAACTGCTCAGAGTTCTTCCACTAGAGGGGGCTCCGGCCTCACCTATGTCTGCCTCTCATGGGAAGAGGCTTCTGTTTAGAGGACAAGACTTGTCAGGAGAGGCAGTGATGCTTGCAGGCTCTATTTGTCTGTGCAGTCATTCTTAGGAAATGTGACATCTTTTTTCCCCCCCGTTTGTTTGCTGTAGGAAGAGCCTGACTGTGTTTAGGCTGCTGTGTGAAAGGCTCTTGGCCTGTGCCACCGGAGCATCACCATATAGGGCCGTTTCGGTCCAAGACGGTAATGAATAATGAGCATTTGTACTATGAAGGCACGAGATCGGTGAATGCAGGAAACGTTTCCTCTTATATATCGTGTGTGTGGGCATCTGGGTGTGTGAGATGAGTCAGTGTTCCTCTGCGGAGGATGACCTCGCTCCTCCTCTGTCTGCGCCAGACAAGATTGGCCTTAACAGATGTGACAGTTAGTGTATGGGCACGGCTATTCTCTCCATGCTCGTTGTTTTGTTTCCCCCCCACTTGGAAGTCATGAATACAAAAATCAGAAGTGGCCCGTGGTGCTGCCGCCTCACCCAGCTGCTCGCTCAGAGCCCCGCTCCAAAGCGGCAGGCTCTCGCCTTTATTCGCACGCGTCTCAAGGATGCGCATTTTGCCCGTGATGGCCACATTTCCCTTCGTAAATCTCTTCTCATTTCAAAAGGGAAATCCTCAGTCGACTACTTAACCTCCAACTCCATTACCCTGATTTGAAATTCAAACTCAGACACCTGCATTAAAGCGCCGGCTGATGGAAGCTCCCGGAGCTTATTACTCTTGTACCCGCCGTCCTATTTTGGTTTCTTTATAAGGTGCCACTTGGCAAAAATACGCTGACTTATATTCCTGTGACTCGGATAGGGCCCGAGGCTGAGAGCCAGACAGAGCTGTTCGGGGATCTAAGATTGGAAGGAATTTACTGGGTGTGGGTGTGGGTGTGGGTGGGGGGGGGGGGACGTGCGTCTCGCCTGCTGGCAGACTGCTGGAACCAGGCCTCTGCTCCCAGAGCTCTCACCTCCTGCCCCCGCAGGCCAAAAGGTCACGTCTTGTGCCTGTTGATACTGTAAAAAGCTTTGTCTTCTTTATGGCCACCGAGGACAGACGTGTCCGTCTTCCTGACAAGCCCCATTTGTCCTCTCTCTCCCTGTCCCTGACATGGATTATGCTTGAGCTTAGAAGAACAGAGAGCATGTGTGATCCGTGACATCACATCTGTAATGAAAATTAAATTATGCTTAATGCCTCATGCAAATATCAAAGCACAAATCAGGCTAACCTTACATCACCAAACTGCTGCTATTAGTGGACACCTAAATAACTCAATTTTGCAATAAAGTGCCACTATGTTGAGAGTCTAACTTCCCCTTTTTTCCTGGAGATTTATTTTTGTACAAACATCGACAGCTACTTTAGCCACATTCTTTTCATATTTCTTGTTGTATTAGTTTAAGAAAAGACAATCGATGCATAAATAATTTAGCAATCGTGCCAAAAGTTTGGCTGAAAAAATGGAACTTTGGCTTCCTCAAAGGGCAGAGCAACACTATAACCTTACTAAGGCGATCAAAAGGAACTTATTTATGTGGCTGTGTCTTTGAAGGACAGCGGCCTGGGCTGCTGGGAATTCTGCTCGCTAACAGGTGTTCTTCAGCTACCTGCTCGGTTTGGCCGTTTACTGGCCGTGTAGCTCACAGAGCCGCTTTATGATTGAAAGTGGGGGCCTGCTGTGGCTGAAAGAAGATGGCGTGCCTTGAATCCAAAACAACGAGCTTTAAGGAGCTTTCAAGAACACTGCAGAGTCCACGGTAAGCAAGCCCTCTCACATTATGAGCCCTGATTCCATCTGAAGGCATAAAAGAAAAAAGCAGCTTTACTGTGTCTGTCCCAGCACACATGGACAGGTGAGACTTCCTTTATTGATTAAGTGAGAATCTTTTCTTAGTCAGAAAGAATGAAAACCGTGGCTGGTTAATGATCAACTATCTGGATCTTCAGTCATCAGTAATAAAGTTGTCGTACAGCTCTGTTCAAACATAATCAGACACTCCTTAATTCTTTATGCACTGAGGGGCAAACTGATGAGAAGTACAGTTGTTTAAGTAACAACCAGTTGATGTAGTCTTCAGGAATAGTTCTCCCGACCTCTCGGAGGACATTTCAAACCTTTTTTTTGGATGCTGTCTGCCTTTTGTTGTGTTCTTTGTCAGGATGATCCCTTACCGCTGCTGCAGAAATGTTTAGCTGTAATCTCTGTGAAGGATTCAGCCCTCCACCAGGCCACCGATTTTAAGTCCAGATCTTGAAGCATCTGGCCTAATGCAGGTTTCTCTTCATTAAGAATGCCTTCCTGACAGCCGCCCTTCCATGGAAACCATTTCTAATTATCCCTCAGTGAACAGTCGATGGATCAATCGAGGGTTAAAGGCAAAGCTTTCTAAAAGTCCTCTTCTGTAGCCAGTCTTTGCAACATTCTTAAGCTCTTACTTACTCTTACTCCGATCAGTCTCTTAGTGTTAATTACAAAGAGCCCAACAGGTACCAAATTAAAATCTGTTTTGTGTAACACTATTTTTTCCCCTTAAATTAGGTGCTCCTCTTTAAATTCGTCGTTAAATGGTCAGGTACAAGGACTGAACAAAATTAATCTTGTATCTTAGCTTTTAGCTCATAGACTTTGGAGAATTTAACTCTGGAAAGAGAGAATGAGATAATGAAAATAATCAAGCAGCGATATCAGTGTTTCCTTTCATCAACTGTCCTTCAACTTTTTTTTTTTTAAATCTTGGAACGCAGCAGCTCTGCTGGGTGTGTAAACGCGTGCTTTTCCATTGTCACCCAGAGAGAAAAGATGCCGGCTGGGATATTGACATGCGCTCGGCATAGCCATCCATACCCAGACACTCCGCTCCTGCAAGGGTCATTTTATGCCCGCTGAAGTCGAGAGACTGTAAGACCCGCTCTTTGGCAGTCTGCAGCTATAGCAAAGCTTTCATTTGGATCTAATGCCAGAGGATGATATATGGATGTGTGCTCTTTGGAACATCAAGAAGCACAACCTCATCCCTGGTCGGAGTGACACAGAGCAGGGCTTCTTACAAAATGGGGCAAAAAAGCAGAAAGTTTCAAAAAAATAAAAAAAAGAAGAGGAAGAAGAAGAAGGCCAACTTGTCTGTGTACTCACTGCATTCCAGGTTATTTATACAGAGAGGGGGAAAAAAACGGTAGACTTCATGTCTCTGCTTGGTGAGAACTATTAAATTACTGGTGGATGTTTTTAATTACTTCACATAAATG